ATGTCGTTTGTTAAGGTAAAATACAGAAAAGCTGCTTAAAAGTGACCAGAACACAAAGAAGAATGTACTGAAAATACTGACTCATGTGTTTTTGTCATGAATGGGCCACGTGCAGAGCAATTTTCTTTAATTACACAATTGTTTCACAGTTTTATTATTATCAGCCATCACAAACCGAGAGTGTCCCAGTTTGTAATTTTTGAAAAATCTGGGCACCCTAGTTTAAAAACACAGTGGAGCACTTCCTGTATTGCTGTATTAACACATGACATCACAAAGTGGAACAAAGTGTTTTCTGTTTGAGAAAAGAACTCAGCCTAAATCTGCAGAGTTTGTGTGTTAAACATGTGAATGAAACTAAACAAAAAACACAACTCCAGATATGTTTGTGAAGAGGAAACAACATTATAACACAAATCAGAAAATATTATAATATGGGCCTTTAATATAAAATCTTTTTTTTTTTTTCAACTATGCAATGTAAAATACAATGGTATAAAACAATAACATTGCTAGATGGTTAAGGATTCATCTTCACAGGGCTCAGCAAGTGTAATATTTACATTTTGCATTATACAAATGTAGAAAAATAATAAATACATTCATATTTTATATTTAAAATTCCATACAAAGTGCTTTTGTTTTCACAGCTTTGGGATTTGTGCAATAATTTAGCAAATTTATACATGTAAGAGGACAAGAGGGACTGAAATACAACTAATTTGTGTTTCTGACTAGAGAATTTATGAAAATTTTGATAGGATTAGGATTAAGTTCAACGCATATGTTTTTTACAGGAATATCTTTCTCAAACACACAAAAAAAAAATCCAAGTTTTACATTAAATTCACAACAAAAAATATGTCATTCCAAAAGATTTGAGTGTATGATTCTTCAACACTCTGACCAAATGAGCAATGTTTAAGCGAAATTTTGAACTGACATCTTTAATTAGGTTTAATCTAAAAGCGTATGCAGTATAAATAGTGAAAATATAAAATAGTGTTTAGTTTGTTTCGTATTAATTTTTGTGCTTTTATTGTTTGGTGCCTGAACAGGAAGTAGTCATGGTGCGGCGGGTCTGGCTTCACGCGGATCTCGCCTGCGGGAATCCCACGTTGAGTCTCCGCGTTGTGCGTCTCCAGGCGACGGATGACACTGGTGCCGCGGCGTGGACCCGTCCCAAGTCAATCAACAGCCCAATGTACGGCAAAAGTCAAAATAAAACTGCACATCCGGGAAGGAAAAGCACAGATCAACATCTAATCACGTCATAAAACCGAGTCAAGCAACGCTAAAGATTCTCCTAATCACGAAATCAGCTCTGGGCCTGTGATTTTAATGTTTTTCAGTCAAAACTTAAGAAAATAACTGAATTTGATATTAACAAGGACATTTACAAGTTGTCAGTGTTGTGGAGTAACAGATTACATGTACTGGAGTTATGTAATCAGAGTACAAATTATGAGTAACTGTATTCAGTTACAGTTACTGTTTCAGTGAGTGGTAATTGGATTACAGTTACTTTGTTGAAATAAATGAATTACATGGTGGGATTTTCCTGTTTGTTTGTTTTGTTTTGTTTTTCAGTAATTCCACTCATTGCTGGAAAGTAAACCAGGTCTAAACTAGATCTTAACCAGGTCTAAACCAGGTCTAAAACAGGTCTAAAACCAGGTCTAAACCAGGACTAAACCAGGACCAAACCAGGACTAAACCAGGTCTAAACCAGGTCTAAAACCAGGTCTAAACCAGGACTAAACCAGGACTAAACCAGGTCTAAACTAAAACCAGGTCTAAAACAGGTCTAAAACCAGGTCTAAACCAGGACTAAACCAGGACCAAACCAGGTCTAAACCAGGACTAAACCAGGACTAAAACCAGGTCTAAACTAGATCTAAACTAGATCTAAACCAGGTCTAAACCAGGTCTAGAACAGGTCTAAAACCAGGTCTAAACCAGGACTAAACCAGGACCAAACCAGGTCTAAACCAGGACTGAACCAGGACTAAACCAGGATTAAACCAGAACTAAACCAGTTCTAAACTAGATCTTAACCAGGTCTAAAACAGGTCTAAAACCAGGTCTAAACCAGAACTAAAACAGGATTTAACAGGATTTAACAGGACTAAATCCTGCTGTGTGGACGTGTCTCCTTGTCTTTTATCAATAATATTTTTAATTTGGTTCAGTAAAGTTTGGGCTTTTTATTTTCTTTTATCAGACAAAACTTCTTATGTGAAGATTTCCTCGTCTTTGTTTCTCTACGGCAAATCAAGTAATCCAAAGTATTCAGATTACATTACTCACTTTAAGTAATTTAATGGATTACGTTACAAACTACATTCTGGGGTGTGTAATCTGTAATCTGTAGGGGATTACATTTTAAAAGTCACCTTCCCAACACTGCAAGTTGTGAGAAAGTGAGAATGACATGAAGGGGTGTGATCTTCTTTCGTGTGACCAGACGTGAGTTTTGAGTCTGTCCTGTCTGTGCCAGCAGATTTATAAAAAACACTGATTTGTCCCAGTTTTATACAAGAAATGTCCCAGGTGTCCCGATTTTTACCCGTTTAATCCCTGCCAACAGTAAAGAGAGGCAAACATTGTCATCTGTTTAAGTAAAATACAGAAAAGCTGCTTAAAAATGACCAAAACACAAAGAAAATGTGACTGTACTGACTCGCATGTTAGTCCCGAATGGACGGAGTGCAGAAGTTTTCCTTAATTACAAACTCGTTACACTATTTTATTATAACCAACCTCCAGTCCCAGTTTTGTATTGTGCAAATCTGATCACCCTAATCTTGAAGTAAATGTTACTACAAAATGAACAGCAACATTCTAAGATTATTTAGCAGTTTTGTTCTTCAATAATAACCAGATTTGCGCTCCAAAACTCCAAAACTGTGTAGGGACCAGGGGTAAATCTAACTGCAGGCACTGTTCTGTCTGAGGCTCGCTTACTCAAATGAAATTAAACTAAATGAATCTGAGTTTTGTTTAAACACAATCTGACCATAAAGAACTGACCTTTATGGAACGACAACAGGTGAGATGATTTTTTTAAAAACCAGTCTATTACATAAAATTATAAATGTATAAATTAAATTAAGTTAGTCACTTTCTCAGTTTTGTGTTGAAAATCAAACTCCTAAACAGAAGCACGAAGGCTCGGACTGATCACAGGCTCCAGAAAATTACCTGTTTGAATTCATTTTGTATTTTTTTCCCAGTTTCCAGAGTCTTAAAACCTTGTGTGGATAATGTCACCATGGTAACTGCTGAACATTCCGTCATAGACAAACACGTAGAACACCCCCGGGATGATGCCACTGTAAAAGTATCAATTCGGTATCATGTAATCTGCATCAGTGAGGGCGAAATCTGCACAACAAAAACTGGAGGGTTAAAATTTCAGGGTGAAATATTTCATGTTATATTTTATGTTTTTAACACAAAAAGGTTTATTTTAACTATTTGAAAGTTAAATGGGGGTTGGAGCTGGGGTTATTTGTCAGAGTTAATATGGTTGAAGTTAAAGGTTATATAGAGGATTTTTTTTAAAGGAAAGAGAAACCCAGCGACAGTCCTTGACACCACCTTCCTCCTCCACAGCCTCTAGAAATAATTTAGAGACCGACACCTCAGTTTTTAGACCCTTTGTCTGCTTCAGTCGCGCAAGAATCACCTCAGTTTGTCTTCGCTCCTTTTCTCCTTCTCTTCGTCTTTCAGCGACCTCAAAAACCGACTTTCTCTTGCGGCGAACCGGTCGTGGATTCTCGTCCGACATCGCAACAAACTTTATGCAAACTGCGAGAGCCACAATTAGAAAAAGCCCCTAAGAACCGCTGCATAGTTACCTTAGAAACGTAGGGAGATTGACTGACAACCTGACAGCCAATAGAAAATGAGGCAGCCTCGTTTTCTATTGGCTGATGTTTATCTGGCCTCAACACGTCCAAAGTTGATAGATTTTCTTTCTTTTTTTTTTTGGTCATGATAATTACAAAGCTGCTGCGTCTCTGTAATGGTATTTTAAACTTTCATTGACAATTTGAAACAAACAAAAAAATCCTCCCTACAACCTTTAATTCAACTTCCACTAGTAGTTCAATGAGGTTCATTTGGTCTTCTGATTTTTTATGATATTAGGTTCTTTTTACAGACCAAGAGTTTGTTTTCATCCTGACAGTTTCGACTGCTCCCTGTGCTCTTCCTCAGAGTCACGTGATGCTGCTGTGACGTGTCGTTCAGCTGAAGAAGAGTGTTAGTGACCAGTTGAAACTGTCAGGTCTCTTGATCTGTAAAAAGAACCTAAGAACTTCCATTAGTGTTAATTCAACTTCCCTTTGTGTTAATTTGTCTCCTCCCACCACCACTTCAAACTCCCGTGAGAGAAGACCAGTTTGAACCAGTTTTGTTCATAGTTTCATCTTAAATTAACTCAAATAAAGTGTAAAAATAAAACTCCTCTGTGTGTTGTTTAGGTACATCAGGAAAACTACAGGAGAGGAGCAGTTGAGGCTCGGACGTCTGTTCTGATGCCTCCTGGGCGTCTCCCTCAGGAGGTGTTCATGTTCCACCAGGAGGAGGCCCCAGGGAAGACGCAGGACACACTGGAGGGACTCTGTCTCTGGACTGACCTGGGAACACTTCAGGGTCCCCCGGAGGAGCTGGAGGAAGTGTCTGGGGTGAAGGAAGTCTGGGAGTCCCTGATTAGACTGATGCCCCCACAACCTGGCCCCAGATAAGAGGAAGAAACTGGATGGATGGAGGATAACTCTACAAAGTGTTATCCGTTTACTCTCAAAACATGAATATATCTCTTGGTTAAACAGGAACTTGGGTCCAGTGTTAGTTTGAACTCATATAAAACTCTGAGAAAATGTTAAAATTGATTCTGTGAGAGTCGATTTTAACACTTCACCAAACACATTAGTCCACAAAATAATTTACAAGAATAAAATATTACAATATCAGACAATCAACGAAATGAATTATGTTGAAAATAACTTTATTAACAATATAACATGCATCATTCAAGTATAAAATCATATTTATTTATCATATTTATATTTTACGTCCCTTTACGCCCCACACCTTTACATTAGTTCACTGTCCCCCGATATCCGCTCAGAAAGATGCACTGTGGAACTTTTCTGCTTGTCTCCACGGAGAGGTTGGAATGTCCCGCGGTGCGGCATTAAACGCGTCCACCTCCGGGAGACAAGCAGGGTTTACGGGTCCGATCTGCGGAGCGGCGACGCTGCTGGATGAATAAATTACTTATTTACAGTATGTCGTGATTTAAATTAACGCAATAAAGTAAAGCGGTAACATCTCCATGGAGACAGAAAGGCCGCAGATACACCACCACCAGAAAAGTTACACGGTGCAGCTTTAAAGTACGACGGAGTATAAGGGTCAGATAAAAAAATAAAAAAAAAAGATGCTGGCGCTACAAGAATAAAGTCGTAACATTTCAACATTAAAGTCGTAATATTATGATATGAATAAAGTCGAAGCCAGAAAAAGTCATAATTTTACAGGAATAAAGTCGTAATTTTACAAGCATAAAGTCGAAGTTAAAATAAAGTCGTAATAAAATCAAAGTCAAAGTGAAAAATGCAGCAGAAGAAGAACCTTGTTTTTCAATATAAAACTAAAAATAAGAAACAAACAACAATTTTCTTCATTATTTGCGCCTCCGGACTGAACCAGGACTAAACCAGGACTAAACGAGGTCCGGAACCAGACCGGGACTGAGACCAGGACTTAGACCGGGACCAGACAAGGACTGAGACAGGGACCAAGACTGAGACCGGGATCAGACAAGAACTGAGACCAGGATTGAGACCGGGAACAGGACCAGGACTGAAAACGGTTTAGTCCTGGTTTAGTCCTGATTCAGTCCTGGTGTAGTCCCGGTTCAGTCCCGAATCAGTCCTGGTTCAGTCCTGGTTCAGTCCGTATGCGGCGCATTAGTCCCGCATCGCATTTTAAAAGTCACGTAAACGCCATTTCCCATTTCCGTGACTTAAACCAGGACTAAACCAGGACTAAACAGTTTTCAGTCCTGGTCTGGCCCCGGCCTCAGTCCTGGTCTTTCTGGTTTGGTTCCGGACCTGATTTAATCCTGATTCAGTCCTTGTTCAGTCGAATGAACGAATGATACACGGATTCTTCTCCTTTACAAAATGCTCCAAATTCTCCATTCTCCACTCGGTCAGACTTTCTGAGCAGCCGATATTCTCCTAATATTATGACTTTATTTTGACTACGACTTTATTCTCATAATATTACGACTTTAATGTTGAAATGTTACGACTTTATTCTCGTAGCGCCAGCATTTTAAAAATTTTTTATCTGACCCTTATACTCCGTCGTATTAAAGAGACACTAAACATTCACTTAATAATAATCATAAATCACCCAGAGAACAGTTTACAGCACTGAACAGGAACTTCATCCACAAACATTCTCTTAGCGACTGTCGTACACTGCAGCAAAATCTGGAATATTTTTAAATATTGAGCCAAATTTTTTTTATTATTTCAAGCTAAAGTTGAAATAATCTGCCATTTTTTCTGTGTAACTATAACTATATTTGTCGTAGTTCCCTGTGAATTTGCGATAATAATAATAATTTTGCGGTGCGTCGTGTAGCCCTACGCTTACTACGGAAAATAATTTGATTCAATTATTAGATTTTGAATTTAAAATCCTGCTTCGAATTTTTTAACTCTGAAAAAAGATGTTTTATTTAATTATTTTTATTCTGAATTTGAGCTGCTGAAATTGTAAATGTTTTTTTTTTTTTCACTGCAAATTTTATGTTCTGGATTTTTACTGTTGAATTTGAGATGCTTGAAAATATTTGTGCTGAATATTTAAACTGTGATTTAAAAAAAAAAATATATTACTGAATTTAAAACATTTTGAAAAAAGTATGCTTAATATTTCACCAGCTGCCGTTCAGAATAAAAACAATTCAAACATGTTTTTGAAGAGTTCAAAAATTCAAAGTGAGAAATTCTAAATTTGATGAAACAAATTATCTTCCATACTGTACATACAATCTGTGTGTTGTTCGTTCATGTGTTTTTTCAAAATAAAATCAAAAATAAGAAAATTTAAAAAACTAGATTTTTTTTTTTTTCATTATTTGTCTCCAAAACCAAATTGAAAAAAAAGATGATTCATTTTTTTTAAGTTTTCAATTTTGTTTTAAATGAAAAATAGAAAAAATGGACTGAACAAGGACTGAAACCAGGACTAGACCAGGACTAGACCAGGACTAGACCAGCCAGGACTAGACCAGGACTAGACCAGGTCTAGACCAGGACTAGACCAGGACTAAAACAAGACTAAAACCAGGACTAAACCGGTCTCAGTCCTGATCACCCGACAGTCTACACGGGTGCTTCTGGTTTAGTCCTGTTTTAGTCCTGGTTCAGTCCTGGTTCAGTCCGTTATCCGTTTTTTCCATTTTTCATTTAAACACAAAATCGAAAACTGAAAAAAAAAAAAAAAAAAAAACCAAATCATTATCTGTTTTTTCATTTTGATTTTGGAGACAAATAATGAAGAAAATAGTTATTTTTCTTCATCGTTTTCTTATTTTTGATTTTATTTTGAAAAACGAATGAACGAACAACACACTTTTTCTTCACCCTCACGTTATTTACATTAAGGCTCGTGTTTTACAGGCGGCGGCTCAGTGTGAAAACTAAAGTAACAGCAGATTCGAGTTTAAAAACGTGGCGTTTCGAAGCCCGTGGACAAATCTGGAGCTGTGCAAACTGCAGCGTGAGGATTTGGCGACATCTAGTGGCCGCGTTCTCACCGACACGCTAAAAAAAACTAAACATGATGCAGTGAAAAATGTAACTTCAGTTTGTTTAAATGTCTCATATTCTGCATTTTATTTACGCTGTTTGATTTTCCCTTTGGCATTTTAACATTCACATTTTTTAAAGATTCAGAAATTCATCTTAAAATAATAAAAAAAAGAACTTCATGAATATTTCCGTTGCATAAAATGAACTTTGAACGAGCGGTGAACGATTTGGCAAATAAGGAAGGCTGTATTCGACAAAAAACATGTCCTGTGCGTCAGTTACTTAAAAATGGGAGCGTTTAATGACCACCTGATGATGTCAGGAGGTGGAAAAGAGTGTTTGGAGCGCACCAGAGTGAAAGTACAGTTCTCTAGGTAGTTTTAAGAATGTGAAAAACAGAAATACCGTATTTTTTGGACTATAAGTGGCACTTTTTTTCATGGTTTGGGTGTTTTTTGTGACTTATGCTCCGGTGCGACTTTTATATTAAATGTTTGAGTGAAGTGTGGAGAGATTCTGGTCTCGTGTGTGAGTATGTGCTGCTCCTGTTCCTCCTGTACCACTGTCACATGGCTCTACTGCGCATGTCTCCTGCAGAAAGAGCCTCTGTCCTGTCTGTATCAAGTCAGTCGATCGCACCGTTACTTAAAATTTAAACAAACTTATAAAGACAAAGACTGAGAAGACTGAACACAAACGCCCCCGAAAACAAAATCAAGATTCTGCAGATTTACAAACTGCAAGTTGTGAAATCTGCAGCTGAAAACGGAAATCGAGCAGCGGAAAGAAAGAAAGTTTGGAGTGAGAGAGAAACTTTTGACACTTGTGAAACTTTCCTGAAGTCACTGGATGGACGGACAAAGCCTGGACTTCAGTGACACCGAAACCATCCTGTCGGGATTCAGAAAGACCCCAATAATTCTAACTGGAACTGACGCCGAGTCTGACGACAGCGACACAGAAGAGGAAGCGGCGCAACGTTTACATCATGGATCTAGGGTTTATCTCCAGAGGTCGCACAGAAGTGACACTGAGGATGAAGAACTGAATGGATTTAGTGATTTGTAGTGAGATCGTGAGTTTGGTAAACTTATGTTGTTTGTGCTATAATAATATAATAATATAATAACATAATAAATGTTAAATATTTACATTAACATATTAACGTCTATTCAGCCTCATGTTCTCTGTTATATTTTTATTACTGTAACTTGCCTTTCAAGATGAAATGTCGGTTCCTGGTCTCTGATTTTAAGAAATACATTTTCCTAAAAAGTGCAACTTATAGTCCGGTGCGACTAATGTTTTTTTTCTTCTTCGTTGTGCATTTTTTGGCTGGTGTGGTTTATACTCCGGAGCGACTTATAGTCTGAAAAATACAGTAGATCATTTTAAACAGCTCGCAGTGATCCAAAACTTATCACTATTAACCGTTTTTCATAAATTTCAAACGCCTGAGGTGAGTTTTTGCCGTCATAATAACAACTAGCATGCTAACAACGCATCAGGATAACTTCTTGCTTTGTTGCCGCTTCGTAATTAGACGTAGACGGGACAGAGTGATCTCATTTTGACGTTAAGATCTGATTTTACAATAGATCTCTACTCGGGTGAGACGAATTTTACAAAAAAATTGAAAGAAAAATGCTCAGAATATGTGACGTTTAAGTTTAAGACGTGAAAAACATTCCCGTTTGTGTTTAAATGGAAAAGGTCCGACAGAACAGTGCTCAGGTTCTTCTGTCCGTGACACCTGCTCCGTCAGATCAGTGAAAGTTTATAAAGTTTTCAGACGCACGGCGCTGTTCAGACCGGGCTCAGATGCTGTCGTAGTCGGAGTTTCTGCGGCTGGACTCGGCCACCCACTCGGCCCCGAAAAACGTGACGGTGCCCAGGAACCCGGACACCACCAGGATCAGGAGCTGCCAGTGGAGCAGGAAGTAGTTACTGTAGAAGAAGGCGACGGCGGCCATGATGGACTGGAACACAGGAGGAGGATTTTATTTACTTTTTTTCATTTTTTTATGAGGGTTAGTTACGGTTTTGATGAGGGAACGACGTTAGAACATGAGAGAAAGTAAAAAATAAATAAATTTTTAAAAAGTCTGTGAGCTCTCACCTGGATAAACTTGAAGACAGCGAAGGCGGGAGCGCTGTGGTCTTTAAACATGAAGCCGATGATGCTGAGGAGCTGAGTGTTAAAACAACTGTCCCCGAGACCCAGGAGGAAACTGCACAGCAACGCCACGCCGACGCTACGGAGACACAGAGAGGACAAATCACACAAACGCCGACGCTACGGAGACACAGAGAGGACAAATCACACAAACGCCGACGCTACGGAGACACAGAGAGGACAAATCACACAAACGCCGACGCTACGGAGACACAGAGAGGACAAATCACACAAACGCCGACGCTACGGAGACACAGAGAGGACAAATCACACAAACGCCGACGCTACGGAGACACAGAGAGGACAAATCACACAAACGCCGACGCTACGGAGACACAGAGAGGACAAATCACACAAACGCCGACGCTACGGAGACACAGAGAGGACAAATCACACAAACGCCGACGTTACGGAGACACAGAGAGGACAAATCACACAAACGCCGACGCTACGGAGACACAGAGAGGACAAATCACACAAACGCCGACGCTACGGAGACACAGAGAGGACAAATCACACAAACGCCGACGCTACGGAGACACAGAGGGACAAATCACACAAACTCCGACGCTACGGAGACACAGAGAGGACAAATCACACAAACGCCGACGCTACGGAGACACAGAGAGGACAAATCACACAAACTCCGACGCTACGGAGACACAGAGAGGACAAATCACACAAACTCCGACGCTACGGAGACACAGAGAGGACAAATCACACAAACGCCGACGCTACAGAGACACAGAGAGGACAAATCACACAAACGCCGACGCTACGGAGACACAGAGAGGACAAATCACACAAACTCCGACGCTACAGAGACACAGAGAGGACAAATCACACAAACTCCGACGCTACAGAGACACAGAGAGGACAAATCACACAAACTCCGACGCTACGGAGACACAGAGAGGACAAATCACACAAACTCCGACGCTACGGAGACACAGAGAGGACAAATCACACAAACGCCGACGCTACGAAGACACAGACGATTCCTACAGGTTTCTTCAAACTAAATTCAAGTCTTTTTAAGACCTTTTTAAAACCATTTATATAAAAAACTTAATACCTATTTCACGACCTATTTCATAGACCTACTGGCAACAAAAGTGAAAATGTGGAAAGTGTAAGACATGAGGAGGATCTTAACAGACTTTAAATCTCCAGTCACAAAGACTGCAGCGGGACATGTCTGTGGACCACAGGATATAAACAGACATAAAAACAGGTCATTGGTGAAAAAAGGTGAGAAGGGTGCGTGAAGGGCGACGTGGCCTCTAGTGTTTATGTTTTTTGATTTACAATTTTTTTGATTAATCAGTTAATTAAATTTTAACTTTTATGACTTTTTATAGAGCAATTTGCTCAAATTTTTTCATAAAGATTAATCTTGTTGTTTTTATTAGTCAGACTAATACAAAGTGTATTTTGTCTTGTAGGAACATTGCTGATTACAGGCCTGATGCCTGTGGTGCTGTAGCACGTGATCTTCAGTGACGTGTTTGGAGGATTTTGACTGGGGCTGCCTTGTGTTCTCAATTATTGGTTCTGCCGCTCTATATTTAGACGACGTTATTTAACCAAATAAAGGTGGTTGACAAATTAAACCCTTGAGGAGGAATGAAGTTACGTACTGCACAAATTTTAAGACCCAGATATAAAAATTCAAGACTTTTTCAGGTCTTTTTAAAGTATTATTTCCAAATTCATAAATTCAATGCTTTTAAGACTTTTTAAGACACCGCGGGAACCCTGGACAGAGAGGAGACAAATGAGACGAACACCAACACCACGGAGAGATAGAGAGAAGACAGGAGCAGAAAAGAAAGGTGAGTGAGCTGAAGATTTGGCCTCTTTTGGTATTTATCTGTAAAACGTCAGATTAAGCCTGTGTATATAGCGCCCCCTGTGGTAATGTGTGGTACTTTGCGGTCTGACCTGGGTGTGATGAACGCCTGCAGGTCGGTCCCTCCCTCCGGAGCCACCGGAGCGTCGTCTGCGATGTTCAGAAAGATGAGGTAAAACGCCACGTAGTGAGTGATCAGCCCCAAGAGCACCACCGGGTTCCTCCCAAAACGGGTACACTTATTCAGCATCCCGAACACGCCGCCCCCTACAGGACACACAGAACATTACACTTATTCAGCTGAACACTCCGCCCCCTAACAGCACAAAACCATGGAATAAGGAGACATTTTGACAGAGCCACAGTTTGTTCCTGACCGAGTATCTCTCCGGCTCCGATGCAGATCCCGGAGAGTCCGATGAGGCCTTTAGCGTCCGTCCCCAACCGTTTCATGGCCCGACACTGGTCCCATAGACTCCACTGTAAAAGGTCAACTCCAGACCTGAAACACAAACACGAGGTCAGAGACACAGAGACACAGACAGAGAGACACAGACGGAGAGACACAGACAGAGGGACACAGACAGAGGGACACAGACAGAGGGACACAGACAGAGGGACACAGACAGAGGGACACAGACAGAGGGACACAGACACATAGGGACACAGAGACACAGGGACATGTAATGTAAATGTAATTTTTTTTTTTATGCACAGCTATTATATTAAATTTTGTATGTATTCATAAGGTAGAGGCTTTATATGAGCCCTTTTGGTTTTTTTTGCCTCTTACCAACCAGATACCTCCACTTCTGTATGAATGTGGTGTCCTATGTGTACGTATATGTGTGTGCGTGTGTGGAGGGGTGGATGGCACAGATTGGCAGTCACACTCCTGTCAGTCTGCCCCAGGGCAGTATCCACAGTCCACAGTACTTTGAGAGTTTTCATGCCTCTAAAGCTCTCTATAAATATAAAACAGGTCTGATGTGTTGGAGATAAAAAATATAATTTCATTCCATTAATTTTAATTTCTTTGTGTGAGTCTAAAATGTATTAAAAATCAGTAGAGCGATCTATTTACTGAGTCATACTGCCACCTAGTGGTGGTGCAGATGGTGCCTACAAAATAAAACCCTTCAGATCAGACAGGAGTGCACTGACCTGTGTAGGCGATGCAGGTGCTGAGCAGCAGCATCTCTTTGGTCACAAACAGTTTACAAGACATCACTGCAAAACACAACAAAACAAGAGTAAACACAGCTGGAGTTTTTGAAGGTGAAATTTCAAGAAAAGTTAGAAAATAATTTAATTTAATTTACCAAAAGCGTCCAGCGCCTGTGAGCACAACCCAGACGATGAACTGCAAAGAGAATCAAACACAGTTAAAGAGACGAACTGAGATACAAGAGAATGGAAGGGCATCTGACACACTGATACAGGAGCGTGGAAGGGCATCTGACACACTGATACAGGAGCGTGGGAGGGCATCTGACACACTGATACAGGAGCGTGGAGGGCATCTGACACACTGATACAGGAGCGTGGGAGGGCATCTGACACACTGATACAGGAGCGTGGAAGGGCATCTGACACACTGATACAGGAGCGTGGGAGGGCATCTGACACACTGATACAGGAGCGTGGGAGGGCATCTGACACACTGATACAGGAGCGTGGGAGGGCATCTGACACACTGATACAGGAGCGTGGGAGGGCATCTGACACACTGGGACGGTCCACTGACAACACGGTAAAATCTTCTCCTCCTGCAGCAGTTCTGAGGTTAATTTCTCTGAGGACGACATCATCCTGCCCGTTGCCGTGGCGACCGGGAGGCGGCGTCGGGGTGAAAAATGTTGAAAAGTTCACAAAGGCGTAACATTTACAGTGGCGTCGTGGGAAGAGCAGGACTCCGATCAGTCTTTCCAAACGCAGATCCCCGCGACAAATTCAACAACGTAATTTCAAATCTGTGTCACAGAAAACGACGAGACGCGAGCGGCTCCGGAGAGATCTACGTGTGACCCGGAGAAGACGAGCAAACACGGGGCCGACCAATCAGAGCGGAGTACGGGACTTTAAACGATTTTACAGGACTACACTGTAAAAATCTGAGTTAAACGACTTGGATTTATTATATCAAAGCAACTGTACATACGATTTAGATTTAAAAGGTGTATTGTGTAACTTTCTCGTTGGACGTCCGTCATCTTTTTATCTTTATTTTTTCATGGAGATGTCATTGCTCTGCCTGGAATGTTCCACAGTGTGACATTAAACAGCTCTACCTTACATTTATTCAGTTACAAGTGGTTTTAGAGCTCAAAAATACCCAGAAAAACAGACATTCTGACACCCATAAAATTCAAATGTCCTGGCCGTTACAGACATGACTTTTAACAAATATGCAGTAAATTGCCAACATAAGGTCAGTTATAGAGATATACTTCTGCTTTAGACCCATTTGCACAGAGAATCAGTAGAAAAAAAATGATTATGGTGTTTAGTGTCCCTTTAAAGAAGAGCTATTGTTCCTGTGTCTCTATATCATTATAACCTCTGACCCCTGTGGATCATTCTGTTATAATTTACACTTTTTAAATAACAATATTCTTCTAAAGATCTTCTAAAGGACTAGGGACGGGCATTGGATTAAATTTTCTTAATAGATTGTAGGGAGAGTTAACGATCGATTATCGATTAATCATGAATGTTTTTATATTAAAATGATCATCATTATTATTGCTATCTGCACTAATCTGCATAAATAAATTCAACTTTACGACATAAACCGTAACGACTCTAGAGCCACATCAGCTGTTTGACATTATAATGTGTTTAATTCAGATTTGTGCAACTCTCACAGAAACAAAACTTAAAACCGCATGACTCATTTGCATAAACTAAGTGAAGAAAAAAAAACCCAATGCAACATGACTCAGGTGAATACAGGTCAGTGTGACCAGATTTGTGTTTGTCAAAACCAGGACAGCGTACGGGGGGAGGGGGGCGGGGCCTCGTCATCCACATTGAGCGACTCTCACCTGGAAAAACTTTTTCCCACTGGACACAGAAACATGTGCTGCTTTATACACTGTGCACATGGACTCACACTTGTCCCGAATGCAACAGAAAGTGTGGAATTTCTTGTACAAATCATCGTTAAATCCACATTTGTGCTTCGGTTCGTTACAGACTGACCCACTGTTTGTGTCTCGCTCCTTCTTAGTGCAGAGACACATGTACAGATATGGTTTGGTCACGATACGCACAGCAAACTACATTTGGTTTGTCGATTAAAATAAACGTAATAGATGAAATTCTTAATGATCAATTATCGATTAATCGACTAATCATGCCCATCCCTAGTTCAGACCAGAGCGTCAAGGCCTTAAATTTATATGTAAAGTCTATGTGGACGTGCGTGTAGGGCGTACAGCGATTTTGTGGCGCATCTTCAGGCTTCAGCGCGGCACGAATCTGGTGTCGACGCGGCTCGTCTTGAGAGTTCTGTCATCAACTCTCTAGACCAGGGGTGTCAAACTCATTTTGGTCCGGGGGCCGTATCGAACCTACTTTGATCCCAAAGGGGCCAGATCAGAAAACTCATTGCTGTTTTTGGGGTTTATATGCCATAAGTTCAAATATTTGTGCAGAGAAACGCAAATCTATTACAGAAATCTTTTTTTAATTGATGAACTCTTTCTTTTACAAAATATTATAATATTATGAACAACCTGAAACTTTAAGAAAATCCTGCACACGGCTCCACTTTTCTCATGTTGGACATTTTTCTGATGAGGGTGTCACGGTCAACAGTCAAAACGATCGTCCTTTAAGAGCGTTTGGAAAGAGACAAGTCTTCATTTGTGCTGCTCTGGTGGGAGGGGCCACGTACAGAGACGCTGGAGACACTGCTATGATAAGCGCCACAGAAAATTAACAATATTTTAATAAAAAATAGAATTTAAATATTTTAGTAGAAAATCAGCCGAGGGCCAGATTAAAGGTCTTGGAGGGCCGGATCTGGCCCCCGGGCCGCATGTTTGACACCTGTGCTCTAGACCAAAGTCCAAGGCATCGTCATCAGAAGTTGAAAATGCTGAACTTTTGGAGTCAGACGCACGTCAACCAATCAGGGACGAGTATCCAGTGACGTAGCAACATTCAATTAGAAGAAAACTACTACAACATGATTTAAAGCTCTGAAAAGTCTCTCTCTCTGTCTGACAAAACAAAAAAAAAAAAATCACATGACAAAGGTTACAGGAAGCAGACAAAACTAGTCAAGCAGGAAAACAGTGAAATGACGTATGAGATAAGAAATCAGGTCAACCAAAAAGCAAAACAAGCCTCAGAACAAGACTGAGTAAAAGTCTGTAACACCGACCTGTAGGAGGCGCTGTCGTCGCTGGACTCGGGCTGCAGCAGAGACTCGGTGACGTCAGAGGAAGACGAGGGCTCCGAGTCCGGCTTTCGGATCAGGAAAAACAGGAAACATCCGACCAGACTGATGACGGTGAGAGAGATGAAGACGGTTTTACGATCTTTATCTGAAACAAACACAAAAGGACATGAAAGGTCCAATATCACACAAAACTGAAACAAAACACAACTCCAGGTCTGTTTGTGATCAGGAAAGTCCATTAGAAATCAGAAAATAACGTCATTTTCGCCCAGGAGAAACTAGTACTGTTCAGACAGGAGAGTTATATGTGGTAGGATTGCCAAAAATAAAAAAAATTTTAAAAAATCAGTCACAAATAGATGCAAAAACTAATCGAAACTAGATCCTCATTTGTCGTAAGTATCAATACTGAAAAGTCCCACTGACAGGACAGAAATAAACCTTTCATGAAAGTGTTTAGAACGATCTGGAACTGAAGCAGAACAAGTATACGAGCAGAGAGACTAGTGTACACACATAGACCTGGTTTAGACCTGGTTTAGACCTACTTTAGACCTACTTTAGACCTACTTTAGACCTACTTTAGACCTGGTTTAGTCCTACTCTAGACCTATTTTAGACCTGGTTTAGTCCTACTCTAAACATACTTTAGACCTGGTTTAGTCCTACTCTAGACCTATTTTAGACCTGGTTTAGTCCTACTCTAGACCTATTTTAGACCTGGTTTAGTCCTACTCTAGACCTATTTTAGACCTGGTTTAGTCCTACTCTAGACCTATTTTAGACCTGGTTTAGTCCTACTCTAGACCTATTTTAGACCTGGTTTAGTCCTACTCTAGACCTATTTTAGACCTGGTTTAGTCCTACTCTAGACCTATTTTAGACCTGGTTTAGTTCCTACTCTAGACCTATTTTAGACCTGGTTTAGTCCTACTCTAGACCTATTTTAGACCTGGTTTAGTCCTACTCTAGACCTATTTTAGACCTGGTTTAGTCCTACTCTAGACCTATTTTAGACCTGGTTTAGACCTACTCTAGACCTATTTTAGACCTGGTTTAGACCTACTCTAGACCTATTTTAGACCTGGTTTAGACCTACTCTAGACCTATTTTAGACCTGGTTTAGTCCTACTCTAGACCTATTTTAGACCTGGTTTAGTCCTACTCTAGACCTATTTTAGACCTGGTTTAGTCCTACTCTAGACCTATTTTAGACCTGGTTTAGTCCTACTCTAGACCTATTTTAGACCTGGTTTAGACCTACTTCAGACCTGCTTCAGACCTGCTTCAGACCTGGTTTAGACCTGGTTTAGACCTAGTGTAGACCTACTTTAGACTTAGTTTAGACTTGGTTTAGACCTGCTTTAGACTTGGTTTGAACCTTGAACCTGGTTTAGACCTGGTTTAGACCCACTGAGGGATTACACAGATACAGTATCAGGACCGTCAGAGCCTAAACCCAGTTTTGTAATTTTTGTAATATTTTCATTACTGAGACAATTATCCCTGTTTTGTTTGATTTAATATTTACTTAAAAAAACAAATTTTTGATCATTTGGGTAATTCTTTATGGAAGGGGTCTCCAGCCTTTTTCATCTGGTGAGCTACTTTTACAAAACAAAAATTCCAGAGCTACAAATTTGAGCAAATAAAGTACACAAGAGTCATGGCAAGACTTAGATCGTGTACACAAAGTCAGGCATCATAATCAAATTCTAAAAAGAAAGTTCTACCATTTAGTGTAGAAAATCACAGTATATCGTCTAAAGAAACATGTTTTTTTAAATTATCATTGTTGGATCAGAATCAGTATTTCATCTGTATCGAGTCTATTTCTTAGTTTGGAAATCGAACACTTATCCGAGGTGAACCTACCCGTGATGTGGTCGTGTCCTCGCCAAGCGCAGTAAATGTACAAATTCCCAAAGAATAAACTGGAAAACACAACAGATCCGAAATGAACATTAAACCATAACAACAGCGGCAATGTCAAATTACAGTGGTGCTTTCAAATGACTTTATAATGACATTATATTGTTTCTGGGTCAGGTGTAAAATGCACTTTATGACGCAGAGGGAACTACATAGACCATAATCCTTTGCTCTGTTTCAATTCATCCTGGTTCAAAATAACACTGTTAACAGACTTTTTCACAAAGGCCGGAAGTGCCTCGCTGTAGGTGTGCGGAACTTCCGGTTAATGGTTTTCTGTGTCAAAATGTGTGTGTAAATGTGTGTGTAAATGTGTGTCGTGTTCTCCAGCAGCTTAATCTGCAACCAAATTCAAATCTTCAACCAACAAGCTCCACAAAGGATAATAATTTTTAGGAGCTCAGATTTCACTTGGACGTGTTTAAAATGTAAAATATGGTCTGCAAATTTCTCTGATCTGGCCAAGATTTTAAAGCTTAATATCAGGTTGTTCATCTTGTTTTCAGATTTATTTACTCGTTCTGAGGTGATTCATTCTAGTCTAGAGGAAGTTTATTTTTTTTTTATTGTCGAGTAAAATGATCTCGCTGCATGGACAGATCGTTTTCAATCCATGTATCATTCGTTCATTCGTTTTTCAATATAAAATCAAAAAGAAGAAAACGACAAAACAACTGTTTTCTTCGTTATTTGTCTCCAAAACCAAAATGAAAAAACAGATAATGATTTGTTTTTTTTCAGTTTTCGATTTTGTGTTTAAATTAAAAATGGAAAAAAGGGATAACGGCTGTTTCCCGTTTACGTGACTTCAGTGACTGCGATGTTGGACTTTTGCACCGTGTACGGACTGAACCAGGACTGATCCAGGTCCGGGACCAGAGCTGGATCAGAGCGGGACCAGAGCGGGACCAGAGCGGGACCAGAGCGGGACCAGAGCAGACTCCGAGCTTTGACTCCGAGCTTTGACTCCGAGCTTTGACTCCGAGCTTCGAGCTCCGGCCCTGCCATGGGCTCTGAGCCTCCGGTCTGGTCCAGGTCTGGTCCTGGCCTGGTCTCTGTCTCAGTCCCGGTCTCGGTCTCGGTCTCAGTTCTGATCTCAGTCTTGGTCTCGGTCTCAGTTCTGATCTCAGTCTTGGTCTGGTCTCAGTTCTGATCTCAGTCTTGGTCTGGTCTCAGTTCTGATCTCAGTCTCAGTCTGGTCTCAGTCTGGTCTCAGTCTGGTCTCAGTCTGGTCTCAGTCTGGTCTCAGTCTGGTCTCAGTCTGGTCTCAGTCTGGTCCTGGTTTCAGTTCTGATCTCAGTCTTGGTCTGGTCTCAGTCTGGTCTCAGTCTCTCTGGTCTCAGTCTGGTCTCTGTTTGGTCTCAGTCTGGTCTCAGTCTCTCAGTCTGGTCAGTCTGGTCCTGGTTTCAGTTCTGATCTCAGTCTGGTCCCGGTCTGGTCTCGGTCTGGTCCTGGTCTCAGTCCCGCTCTGGTCCTGGTTTGGTCCAGGACCTGGATCAGTCCTGGTTCAGTCCGTATGCAGTGCAAAGTTCAGCATCGCAGTCACAGAAGTCAAAACGGGAAAAACAGGAAACGTCCGTTATCTGTTTTTTCCATTCTTCCATTCTGCGGTGTCATTTGTCTGTGTGTGTCGTACTGTCCCTGAACACACCACAGAGTCACGTCACTCACGTGTGTTTGTTTACACCTGCAGACACAGATCCAAACACTGAGATTATTTTCTTTTTACGGACAATCGGTTTATTAGTGCAGATTTGTGATGTGGGAGGAGCCTGTATGAGCGGTGAGTGTTGGAAATATGTCGACTTTGAGGCTAGTTTTGGTCATTTGTTATGGATTAGCTGCTGTAGCTCCCGCACATAAACAGGCTGTTTTCTATTGGTCTATTGTAAAGTGACTATATTGGCCGTATATTTGTTACTGGACCTGCACTGATATGTAAATGAGCAGTGAACAGACGTGTGAATTATGACATTTGCGCATATAATTAATTACCGCGGCGCGCACGTATTTACGGCTAAAGGCTAATAGCGCTACTTTCTTTACTAGTTATGGGTCGGTCGCGAACGAAATGACTCTTAGAGTCGGCTCTTTGAAGGGAACGACGGGAGCCTGATCCTTATTGGGAGCCGTGTTTTCTCTTTCTCTCACTTTTTTTCTCTTCACGCCGTGTGCAGACTCGTGGGAGTTTGACAGCGGCAGCGGCTGAAAACGAAACTTTGACAAATTTGCGTGTACATAGGATAAAAAAAAAAAAAAAAAAAAAAAACGAGCATATTTGGCTGTAGTTTAGCATAAAATAAATAAGTCCCGGTTTAGTCCTTTTTCAGTCCTGGTTCAGTCCTGATTCAGTCCTGCTTTAGACCTGCTTGCAACAAAACAATCTGAAGAGTCGCTTGGGAGCCAAAAGAACCAGCAGCTTTTAGTGAGCCGAGCCAAAAGAGCCGGTTCTCTAAAAAGAACTGGAATACCCATCACTAGTGTCTAGAATGTGATGCAAAAATGCCATTAAGTCAACCTACTGTCTGTAAATATGACGTAAAGAGGCAGAATAACAATAAATGTTGCCTAAATAAACCCAATTTAAAATCCACCAGAGCCAAACCTACGTTTTTTAAACAGTTCAACATTTACAGTGAATTTTTACATCATAAATATATCGGCGATTATATCGGCAGCTCCAACTCCCATTATATCGGGTTCATATCGGCCACAGCAAAATCGGTCGGGCTCTAATTGAAAAATGAATAAACGAACGACACACGGATTCATTTCACTACTTTTGAGTCATTTTCTGATAGATTTAAGTGTTTCTATCTTAAATTTTGACCAGGCTTTTTGCAGTTTGACCTGAACATTTGTAAACCGTGCGGGTCGTGGATTAAACTGTAGCTCACCTGAACTGGAGCAGAGCCCAGAAGATTCCGCTGTTCCTGCCGATGGTTCTCTCGCTGGAGTTTGTGGCCAGGACGTTTCCCTGAGCCGTCCACAAAACTGTCGCAAAATAAGAAAAGAATTTAAGAGAAAAAGAAAAGAACTCGGCCTAAGTGTGCAGGGTTTGTGCGTTAAACTTGTGTGAACGAAGTGAAAATAAAAAGTGTGATTTGAAGAGCAGAGAATCACAGACCTGCTGCTCCGATCCCGACCAGAACCGACGCCGTGTAGAAGCTCCAGGTGAACGGGTAAATGAACATAGCGATGTAAGCGCTGAGAAAAAGAGAAGAAGGAAAAAGAGGAGAGAGAGAGAGAGAGAGAGAGAGAGAGAAGGGGAGAAAGAGAGAGAAGACAGAGATGGAGGAAAAGAGGAGAGAGAGACAGAGGAGAGAGAAAAGAGAGAGACGAGAGAGACGGAGGAGACAGAGAGAGGAGAAAAAGAGAGAGAGGAGAGAGAGAGAGACAGAGGAGAGATAAAAGAGAGAGACGAGAGACACGGAGGAGACAGAGAGAGGGGAGAGAGAGGAGAAAGAGAAAGCGAAGACAGAGCAACAGAGGAGAAAGAGAGCATCGAGAGAGGAGAAAGCGAGAGAGGATGGAGAGAGGAGAAAGAAAGAGGAGAAGAGAGGAGTTTGTTATTAAGGTTTTTGATCTTACAGACAAAACAGACAAAGTAGTGAAAGAAAAACCCCAGAATCATGTAGAGCAGGTTCATTTAGACCTGGGATGGACCTGGTTTAGTCCTGGTTCAGTCCGGGTTTAGTCTGGGTTCAGTCCTGGGCTGGACCTAGTTTAGTCCGGGTTGGACCTGGTTTAGTCCGGGTTTAGTCCGGTTCAGTCCAGCTTCAGTCCGGGTTCAGTCCGGGCACAGCTGGACCTGGTTTAGTCCGGGTTCAGTCCGGGTTTAGTCTGGGTTCAGTCCTGGGCTGGACCTGGTTTAGTCCGGGTTGGACCTGGTTTAGTCCGGGTTCAGTCCTGGTTTAGACCTGGTTTATTCCTGGTTCAGTCCGGGTTCAGTCCGGGTTCAGTCCTGGGCTGGACCTGGTTTAGTCCGGGTTCAGTCCGGGTTCAGTTCTGGGCTGGACCTGGTTTAGTCCGGGTTTAGTCCTGGTTCAGTCAGGGTTCAGTCCAGGGCTGGACCTGGTTTAGTCCGGGTTTAGTCCTGGTTCAGTCCTGGGCTGGACCTGGTTTAGTCCGGGTTTAGTCCTGGTTCAGTCCGGGTTCAGTCCGGGGCTGGACCTGGTTTAGTCCGGGTTTAGTCCGGGTTCAGTCTGGGTTTAGTCCGGGTTCAGTCCGGGTTTAGTCCTGGTTCAGTCCGGGGCTGGAGCTGGTTCAGTCCGGGTTTAGTTCTGGGCCGGATGAGTTTTTTTCATTGTAAAAATGCATTTTTTTCAAGATGGATTCATAAAAAAAACAAAATAAACCTTATGTGCAGGTGTTTGTTGTTGGTAAAACTTAAAACAATAAATATTAATGCTCAAAAATATCAGTTTATCAGTTTATCAGCCATCGGTCGCTCTGGATTCTAAATAAATTGTTTTCGCATCGGCTGTGGAAATACAAATATCGGCCGATCTCATGTTAAGACTAAAATGAGGAGCCTGACATCAGCAGGTACAGATGCTGATTTCAACAGAAGTTTGTTACGTCCATTTATATAAACACATTTCATGAACCAGACTCTGTATTGATCAGGTATCGCCGGTGTCACATAAATGGTTCTTCACTCACCTGTAGAGGAGCCCGCTGAAGAACATGGAGAGCTGAGGCCCGATCACCGTGACGATGGACGGAGCGATGAGGTTTGAGGCCGAGAAGACGCCGTAAATAATCGCCATGCTGCAAAACAAAACAAAACAAACAGAGTTTATTTACACTAAAACAGAAAGACGACTCTGAACTTTGTGGTTTTACGGCTCAAAAATACGTAGAAAAAACAAACATTCTCGGTCAACTTGGTTTAGTCTGTGAAGATTTCAGACAAAACAATAACGTCTCCACGGAGAAAAGCGATTGACGAATCCTCCACCAGAAAAGTTACACAGTGCAGCTTTAACTGGCCCATAAGAACCGTAAAAAGTAAAAGAGTAAGAGAAAAGAGTAAGAGAGCGCTGAGTGTTACCTGGTGTATCCGGTGCCGTGGAAATCTGTGCCGTTAAAACTGATCAGGACCGTTTGCTGAGGAAAAGGAAGAAGAGAAGGACAATGGTTAGATGAAGTTTAAGTTCAGAAGAGAGAGGAGAGAGAGAGAGAGAGCAGAGAGTGGACCAATCACTAATCAATAACAAATAACCAAAACTAGCTTCAAAATCGACACATTTCCAACCCTCAGCCTCACACAGGCTCCTCTCAGATCACAAGTCTGCACTAATCAATGTCCTTTTAATCCAGACTCAAACAGATTGTCAGTGTTGTGGAGTAACAGATTACATGTACCGGAGTTATGTAATCAGAGTACAAATGATGAGTAACTGTATTCAGTTACAGTTACTGTTTCAGTGAGTGGTAATTGGATTACAGTTACTTTGTTGAAATAAATGGATTACACAGAGATATTTTCCGGTTTTCATTTTTTGGGCTATATCCCTTTTTTTTTTTTTTTTTTAATAATTCCACTCATTGCCGGACACTAAACCAGGACTGAACCAGGACTAAACCAGGACTAAACCAGGTCAGGTCTAAAACCAGGTCTAAATCCAGGTCTAAAACCAGGTTTAAACTAGGTCTAAACCAGGTCTAAACTAGGTCTAAACTAGGACTAAAACCAGGTCTAAAACCAGGTCTAAATCCAGGTCTAAAACCAGGTTTAAACTAGGTCTAAACCAGGTCTAAACTAGGTCTAAACCAGGTTAAAACCTAAACTAAACTAAAACCAGGTCTAAACTAGGTCTAAAACCAGGTCTAAACTAAACCAGGTCTAAACCAGGTCTAAACCAGGTCTAAAACCAGGTCTAAACTAAACCAGGTCTAAACTAGGACTAAAAGGACTAAACCAGGTCTAAATCCAGGTCTAAATCCAGGTCTAAACCAGGCCTAAACTAGGTCTAAAACCAGGTCCAAACCAGATCTAAACCAGGTCTAAACCAGGACTAAACCAGGTCTAAACCAGGTCTAAACCAGGACTAAACCAGGACTAAACCAGGTCCAAACCAGATCTAAACCAGGACTAAACCAGGACTAAACCAGGTCTAAACCAGGATTTAACAGGACTAAATCCTGCTGTGTGGACGTGTTTCTTCTTCTTCTATCAATAATATTTTTTAATTTGGTTCAGTAAAGTTTGGGATTTTTATTTTCTTTTATCAGACAAAACTTCTTATGTGAAGATTTCCTCGTCTTTGTTTCTCTACAGCAAATCAAGTAATCCAAAGTATTCAGATTACATTACTCACTTTAAGTAATTTAATGGATTACATTACAAACTACATTTTGGTGTGTGTAATCTGTAATCTGTAATCTGTAGGGGATTACATTTTAAAAGTCACCTTCCCAACACTGCAGATTGTCCATAAAAAGAATATAATCTCAGTGTTTGGATCTGTGTCTGCAAGTGTAAACAAACACACATGAGTGACGTGACTCTGTGGTGTGTTCAGGGACAGTACGGACACACACACACACACACACACACACAGACAAATGACTCCACAGATAAATACTGATGCGGAGCCACATATTTGGACATTTATCTGTCTGTAAATTGGATTAAATGAACATAATGTAGAGAGTCTAAGCTTTATAACAACGTATAACCTGCCCACGTGAAATATCGGTCCATATCAGCAAACATATCGGCCAAACGATATATCGGCCGGGCTCTAGAAGAGAATACCTCGATGTTTCCGCAGGTCTGAAACGCGGTGAACATGAACATGAAGGCGAAGCCCAGGATCACGATGTTGAGCAGCTTCTTTCCCTCCGGATTCATTTTGTCTGAGGTCTGAGGAGATTTATCTAAGAGGAAGTGCACCTAAAAATACTCGGGAGTCTAGAGAAAAAAACAAAAACAGAAACAAGAAGTCAAAACACCGCCACATATGGACTGATCTTTTACCACTGTGACGTCCACACCTTCCTGGTTCAGTCCTGGTTCAGTCCTGGTTCAGTCCTGGTTCAGTCCTGGTTCAGTCCTGGTTCAGTCCTGGTTCAGTCCTGGTTTAGTCCTAGTTGAGTCTTGATTTAGTCTCGATTTAGTATTGTTTTAGCCTTGGTTTAGTCTTGGTTCAGTTGTGGTTTAGTCCTGGTTTAGTCTTTATTTTGTCCTGGTTTAGTCCTGGTTTAGTCTTGATGTAGTCCTAGTTCAGTCCTGGTTCAAGTCCCGGTTTTAGTCTTGATGTAGTCCTGATTTAGTCCCGTTTTAGTCCTGGTTCAGTCCTGGTTCAGTCCTGTTTAAGTCCTGATGTAGTCTTGGTTTAGTCTTGGTTTAGTCTTGATGTAGTCCTGATGTAGTCTTGATGTAGTCCTGGTTTAGTCCTGATGTAGTCCTGGTTTTAGTCTTGATGTAGTCCTGTTTTAGTCCTGTTTTAGTCCAGTTTTAGTCCTGGTTCAGTCCTGGTTCAGTCCTGGTTCAGTCCTGGTTTAGTCTTGGTGTAGTCCTGGTTTAGTCTTGGTGTAGTCCTGGTGTAGTCCTGGTGTAGTCCTGGTGTAGTCTTGATGTAGTCCTGGTTCAGTCCTGTTTAAGTCCTGGTTTAGTCTTGGTTTAGTCTTGGTTTAGTCCTGGTTTAGTCCTGGTTTAGTCCTGGTTTAGTCCTGTTTAGTCCTGTTTAGTCCTGATGTAGTCTTGATGTAGTCAGGGTTTAGTCCTGGTTTAGTCCTGATGTAGTCCTTGATGTAGTCCTGGTTTAGTCCTGGTTTAGTCCTGATGTAGTCTTGATGTAGTCCTGGTTTAGTCCTGGTTTAGTCCTGGTGTAGTCCTGGTGTAGTCTTGATGTAGTCCTGGTTCAGTCCTGTTTAAGTCCTGATGTAGTCCTGGTTTAGTCCTGATGTAGTCTTGATGTAGTCAGGGTTTAGTCCTGGTTTAGTCCTGATGTAGTCTTGATGTAGTCCTGGTTTAGTCCTGATGTAGTCTTGATGTAGTCAGGGTTTAGTCCTGGTTTAGTCCTGATGTAGTCTTGATTAGTCCTGGTTTAGTCCTGGTTTTAGTCCTGTTTTTAGTCCTGGTTTAGTCCTTTTTTAGTCCTGTTTTTAGTCCTGGTTTAGTCATGGTTTTAGTCCTGTTTTTAGTCCTGTTTTTAGTCCTGGTTTAGTCCTGATGTAGTCCTGATGTAGTCTTGATGTAGTCCGGGTTTAGTCCTGATGTAGTCTTGATGTAGTCCTGGTTTAGTCCTGATGTAGTCTTGATGTAGTCCTGGTTTAGTCCTTAGTCCTGATGTAGTCTTGATGTTAGTCCTGGTTTAGTCCTGATGTAGTCTTTTAGTCCTGATGTAGTCTTGATGTAGTCCTGGTTTAGTCCTGGTTTTAGTCCTGTTTTAGCCCTGATGTAGTCTTGATGTAGTCCTGGTTTAGTCCTGTTTTTAAGTCCTGTTTTTAGTCCTGGTTTTTAGTCCTGTTTAGTCCTGAGTCCTGTTTAGTCCTGAGTGTAGTCTTGATGTAGTCTGGTTAGTCCTGGTTTAGTCCTGGTTTAGTCCTCGTCAGCTCCACTGGACACCACAGTTTTCTAACGCTGAACGTCACGGGAAAAATCACAGTTTTTTCACGGTGACGTCACAACATTCTGCAGGACAATGACATTTAAAGGTCCAAAGTTACACTAAAAAAGACTCTTGTGAGATTAAAGAAGTGCTATAATGGTGTTACCTCCTCAAAAACAATCTGTGTGTCATTCGTTTATTAATTTTTTAATAATATAAATATTTTATAAATATATTTTTTTTTCTTCATTATTTGTCTCCAAAACCAAAATGAAAAAACAGATAATGATTCGTTTTTTCAGTTTTCCATTTTGTGTTTAAATGAAAAATGGGGAAAAAAAAGGACTGACCCAGGACTAAAGCAGGTCTAAAACAGGACTAAAGCAGGTCTAAAGCAGGTCTAAAGCAGGACTAAAGCAGGACTAAACCACGACTAAAGCAGGTCTAAACCAGGACTGAACCAGGACTGAACCAGGACTGAACCAGGACTGAACCAGGACTAAACTGATCCTGATCTCCGGAAGAGACCAGGACCAGACCAGGACTGACACCGGGACTGAGACCAGCACTGAGACTGGTTTAATCCTGCTTTAGTCCTGGTTTAGTCCTGATTCATTTCTAGTTTAGACCTGGTTTAGACCCGTTTTAATCCTGGTTCAGTCAGGATTTAGTCCTGGTTTAGACCAGGTCCAGTCCTGGTTTAGTCCTGGTTTAGTCTGTTATCCGTTTTTTCCATTATTCATTTAAACACAAAATTGGAAAAACAAATCATTTTGGAGACAAATAATGAAGAAAATTGTTGTTTTTTCATTTTCTTATTTTTGGTTTTATTTTGAAAAACGACTGAACAAACGACACACAGATTAAAAACAGGACCTGGTGTTGTGTTTTCTATCGTTTCATTCACACATGTTTGAGTAACTCTTTATTAAGATCAAAATGCCATGATTTAGCCTTTATTTTTACTGAATCGTATTGAATTGATTTGAAATATATCATATTGAATCGTAAGCTCACTGTATCGAGATATGTATCGTATCGGCAACTTTTTACTAACACCCAGCCAGTAGGAAAAACTGTCTCTTGCATCCACCTGGGAGTATGACATCATTACATCCTAGAAAACCAACATATTTATCACTTTTGGTTTCTAGATCCTAAATTATAGAACACAAAATGAACAGGGAAGTGTGTTTATGACGTAAACAATGGTTGTGTTTTTTACGGTAGAATAACTTAAATATGGTTGAATTGTGGTTCCTTCTTACAAAAGCATGTGACACTAAAACATCACGATTACACAGTCAAGTTCAGCATTCGTGACAGAGAGGAGTTAAAGCTGCACTAAGGAACTTTTCTAGTGTTTTTTTGTAATCCTTAATTTATTTAGAAGCATTTTATGACAGAAAACATTAAAAAGAAACAGATTTGGCTGCCATACGAAACACATTTTCCAACAAAACAATGCTAAGGTGACCACTTATTAAATCTTTTTCTATCATGTCCTTACTGTGGAACATTCTAGACACAACAAGGGGTGAAGAAAAGTTCCGTAGTGCATCTTTACCCAACAAATAACCAAATCATTCGAGGTTATTTTCACAAAACTGCACGAAGATTGAATTTTCTTAGGCTTTTCTTCTTTTACACACATGACAATCCAAACATAAAACCTGTTTTAATCATACACCATTACGCAGGCTACATAATTATAGTTTTCTCCGTAAAAAAGCTTTAATACGTAACTTTCTGGCTTGCGGTTTAGGTCGTAAACAAATGTTCTGTGTAGTAGTTATGGTCAGCGAGTGTTTTGTGACTGAAATTAGATGTTTTTAAGAGCTGTTCGTTTAAATATCGAATAAAAATAATAGTTTTAAGATGAAAACCTTGAAAGTGGGATTTAGATTTAAGGATTTAAACATAAAAAAACACTCACCAACAGAGTCCAAGCTTCGCTAACATTAGCTCCTGTCTACAGCGTGTTTTTTTACAGTCACATTTAGCTTTTTGCACCTCGTTTCATGTTCAAATCCTACACTAATATCACTGTTGACATGCCGCCCTTCGCCACGTTAAACTGTTCCTTTTGATTTGCATTGAAGTGGTAAAAGTTCTCGGCCCAAACTGGAAAAGCCTCTTGTCATGTGAATCGCTCAGCTGACTGAAGACGTTAGCGGCTAGCATTATCCGCAGATATATAAACAACCTGGATAACGAAGCAGCAAGGAGCCAAAGCACATCCAGGTGATTTAACCATCAGGCAAGTCCCGCAGAGAAACATTTCCGGTATTTTTCCCTGTTCTTTCTTTCTTTCTTTCTTTCTTTTTTTTTTTTTTTTATTTTTAATACATTTTGTGAAGTTTTAAGACAAAGTAGTAACAAATAAAAAAATAAAAATAAATACAAATAACTAACAAGACAAACTGCTACAAAATATAAATAAATGAGAATGCACGATGTTACACGTTACACAATGTTACTTTATATATTACGCAAAGTGGACTCTAGTGAGCTTTAAGTCATTGTATAATGTTGCTATCTCATCAAAAACATACTTGGAGTTAGGTTTTGTTTCATTCACACGTTTGAGTAATGTTTTATTCTTAGTCTGTCTGAATCGCCAAAACTCAAAATGCTCCGTTCTACCTTGTGACGTCATTAAGAGGTAGTTAACAATTCAGCAAAGATTGGCAATTCCAGGGATGAACTTATCCAAATGATTCTAGTGAAAGTGAATAAGGTTTAAATTAGTCCCAGTTTTGAGCCCTGTGTCCCCTGTCCCAGTTTTATTACTACTACTACTACTACTACTACTACTACTACTACTACTACTAATACTAATACTAATACTACTAATACTAGTACCAGTGTTGGGGAGTAACAGATTACATGTACCGGCGTTACATAATCAGAGTACAAATTATAAGTAACTGTATTCATTTACAGTTACTGTTTCAGTGGTAATTGGATTACAGTTACTTTGTTAAAATAAATGGATTAAGTGGCAGTATTTTCCTGTTTTCACATTTTGGGCTAAAGCAGGACTAAACCAGGACTAAACCAGGTCTAAAAGCAGGACTAAACCAGGACTAAACCAGGTCTAAAAGCAGGACTAAACCAGGACTAAACTAAGACTAAACCAGGTCTAAACAATATGACACTAACAGTAGGTGAACATAATTTAAAGCAGCAGTGATCTCATATAAAAATCATTTCTCTATCAATAATATTTTTAATCTGGTTAAGGAAAGTCTGGACTTTTTATTGTCTTCAAGCAGATAAAACAAAACATCTCATGTTCAGATCCTCGTCTTTGTTTCTCTACAGTAAACAAAAGTCTATTCATGGAGACTTGGGCTCAACAGACAATTTGAAGAGAACAAACAAGATTTTCAGGATGTGATTGGTACATTATTCAGTTTTAAAAAAATGACAATATCAAGTAATCCAAAGTATTCAGGTTACATTACTCACTTTAAGTAATTTAATGGATTCAGTTACAAACTACATTTTGGGGTATGTAATCTGTAATCTGTAGAGGAATACATTTTAAAAGTCACCTTCCCAACACTGACTAATACTAATAATCATACATTTTATTGATTAGGCACCTTTCTGGACACTCAAGGTCACCACAAAAACATAAACAAGTTAAATACTATTAAAACATATAGTTAAAGTGGGACAGTATTTTAATTTAATTTAATTTAGTTTAGTTTAATCTAATTTAATGGAATTTAATTTAATTTAGTTTAGTTTAGTTTAATGTAATGTAATTTAATATAATTTAGTTTAATTTAGTTTAGTTTAATGTAATGGAATGGAATGGAATTAAATTTAGTTTAATGTAATGTAATGTAATTTAATTTAGTTTAGTGTAGTTTAATGTAATGTAATGTAATGGAACCGAATTGAATTGACCTCCATTAGCATCGGAAAAGTGCCATGTGTCCGTATTAAGTTCGTGGTTGTTGTTGGTCCTTGTGGCCTCCTCCCAGCAGGTGGCGCTCTTTAAAAAACCACGCGGCGCCTCCTGTTCCAGAAACAGCGGGAGCACGAGCAGAGCGCGCGCTCGCGGTGCACGCTTCGTTTTCGGCTCGTGGTTTGTTTGTCGTTAGTTTTGTTTTTGCGGGTTCAGTGAAACTCTCCGGACGAACAGAACCGCACATCGCCCCGTGAACCGCGTCCGCCCCGCGCCCGTCTCCGCGTCTCCGCTCCGGCCGCGCGGGTTTTATTTTTTTTAGTTTGCAGATTTTCCGGCCTGCGCGCTCCGTCCCGCCGCCGCCGCCGCCATGAGCTACGGCAGGCCTCCTCCCGACGTGGACGGCATGACTTCCCTGAAAGTGGACAACCTGACGTACCGCACGTCCCCGGAGACGCTGCGCCGGGTGTTCGAGAAGTACGGCCGCGTGGGGGACGTGTACATCCCGCGGGACCGCTACACGAAGGAGAGCCGCGGCTTCGCCTTCGTGCGCTTCCACGACAAACGCGACGCGGAGGACGCCATGGACGCGATGGACGGAGCGCTGCTGGACGGGCGGGAGCTCCGGGTGCAGATGGCCCGCTACGGCAGACCCCCGGACGCTTACTACGGGGGAGGAGGCGGCGGAGGCGGCGGGAGGAGAGGGGGCGCGCCGCGGAGGTCCGGAGGCTACGGGCGCAGGAGCCGCAGGTGAGGACCGAGGAGCCGCGGGTGAAACACTCACCGCGAGCCACGGTTTAACTTCCCCGGTCTTATCACAGCGATTCTGAAAGATAAAATATAAACTAGCTCACGTCTGCACTCTTATCTGAATATGCATGGTTACTAAAATATTTATTACTGTTTATTTTGTGTTTTGGTCGTTTTTAACCCTCAGGCTCAAATAAAATTTTAGTAACAGGAAAAAATCTGATATTTGGGGAAAATAATCATATGTGTAGTAATACACAATTCTGCCTTTTTTTTTTGAGAGACCTTCACATCCAGTGTGTCTGGGATGTTGCAGATTTGCAGCATTGGTCCGGTGTCGTAAATTAACACTGAAGACTGAAAATGATATGAACACTAACTTTATGTGTTTACCACTTTTCATAACAATGAAAACATAAATCACAGTGTAACAGCTTTACAGTGACAGAACAGCATCACTTTTTCATGTGGTTCTCCAAGAAACAATTTTTATCCTTTGTAAACAACAAAAGTACTCTGCACTTCTGGCCGTTTGTGTGTAGTCGTTCTTACACAGTCTGCATCATCCACGTTTATCAGCATGGATGGGAAAAAAGGCTCCTCAGTAAAAAAAAAGCTCATAAAATATGGATGTGGAGTAAGTAGGTAATTGGCATTTAGCTGTTGCAAATCTGCAACTAATGCCTGGAGAGGGTTAACCATCTTATTCTGTATTTTACTTCAACAAATAACAGTTTATTTCTCTCTTTACTGTTGGCAGGGATCAGATAAGTCAAAAATAGAGACACCTGGGACATTATTTGTATAAAACTGGGTCAGATTATTATTATTATTATATTTATTTCGGACAATAATACATAGAACATAAATTAAAAAAACAAAAAACTAAATAATTAATAAAAAGACAAAAACGTAAATACATAGATATAACACAAAAAGTAACTATTTCTATTCTATAATAACAGGAAAAATAAATGTTACGCAGAATTTTCCTTGTGTCCGAAAAAGGAGTGGGAGGAAGTAAATACTTATTTAACCCCACCCCTTTTTTCTACAGTCCCAAATTAACGAAGAACAAATACAGACTTCTCATTTCCTGTACATTATAAGCAATAATTGCACAGTACCTCCATTGCATTACAATCTAACAGACAACAACAAATATATGTATATTATGTACACAGATATAGTACACATCATATACACAGATATAATATATACATACCTACATACACATCACATACCCATGCATACCTATATATATATATACATATATACACCCAGATCAGTGGTTTTGTATAAATCTGGGCTCAAATCTGGGACTGTCCCGGGGAAATAGAGACTAATCAACAAATTTGGTCACATTAGATCAGTGCTTCTCAAATAGTGGGGCTCCGTCAAGGGGGGCGCGTTGGACCTCGGGGAACATGCTTTTTTATTTTTTTATTTAGATTTTTTTTACTGTCTTAAGGGCCGTTCACACCAAAGCGTCAAAAAAACGCCTTGACGTCTCTATTTGGAGCCTTTGCATTTGAGTTCAGACGCCCCGACGCGCGTCTTTGACGCCGTGGACGAACGGGACAAAATACTTGACGCGCGTCCGTTGCCCTGGAAACAAGAGCCCGGTCCCGGTCTTTTCCCGAAACAATGTCAGACCAGACTGAGAGAGTGTTTTTATGACATAAAACATCAACGGAGGAGATCGGGTCGACGACTGGGGCGTATATATGTTTATACTTCGCTGACACTGGATCAGTCCCGGTCTAGTCCTGGTCTAATACCGGTCTATTCCCGGTCTAGTCCTGGTCTAATCACGGTCTAGTCCCGGTCTAGTCCTGGTCTAATCACGGTCTGGTCCCGGTGGTCCCGGTCTAGTTTGTCTAATCACGGTCTAGTCCCGGTCTAAGTCTTGGTCTAGTCTCGGTCTAGTCTCGGTCTAGTCTCGGTCTAGTAGTCCTTGTTTAGTCCCGGTCTTGTCCTGGTTTGGTCCTGGTCCGGTCCTGGTGTAGTCCTCGCGATCGGCTCGGTGATTGTGGCGTATATATTTATTCTCCGTTCATGTTTGTGGTTCTCGTTCTGGTTCTGGGGTTTTTCTTCCTGATAACAACGTCGCTGCGTCACTGGATACTCGTCCCTGATTGGTTGACGCGGCGCGTCTGACGCGAAAAGTTCAGCATTTTCAACTTCTTGACGCTGACGCCTTGGACGCGCGTCTTGGCCGCTGACGCCAAAACGCTGAAGACGCGCCGCGCTGACGCCGAAAACGCGCCGCAAAAACGCAGGACGCTCTAGTCGCGCGTCCACATAGACTTTACATAGAAAGTGGACGCTTTGACGCTTTGGTCTGAACGGGCCTTTAGAATAAAGTGCAATTGCACTTCCACTACATTAGGGGGCAGAGCGCTCTCATTGGCAGAGTGTGCGCAGGGAGCATTCGCTCGGTGGTGTAGGAGTTTTGTTTGCACTGAGCATGCGTGCTTTGCACACAGCACAGAGTTTGAGTATGAAGTGTAGACACGAAGTGTAGCAGACCCTCAAGTGACACCATGAAAAATATTTAACAGGGATGAGAAGACAGACGGAGAGACGGAGATAAAGAGACAAACGAAAATCTCCCGAAAGCTAAGACGAGGAAATATGATGAAGCGTATGTAGCGCTTGGCTTCACTGTGACTACGGTGGGAGACGAGGAAAGACCGGTGTGCTTACTGTGTCTAAAAATGTTGGCAGCCGACAGCATGAAGCCCAATAAATCAAGGCGTCACTTAAATACATTACACCCCGATCACTCTGATAAGCCGCTTGAGTTTTTTCAGCGAAAACGTGCCGAATATTGCCGACAATCATCCCGCTTTGTGACTGCTACTTCAGTAAACCAGCGAGCCTTGTTGGCGTCATATAAGGTGGAGTGTTAAGCACAGGTTACTTATAACAATTTTATAGACAAATGATACTATCTATAGTCACGCGGGGGGGCGTGAGATGTTTTATTCGTCCTAGGGGTGGCATGACAGAAAATAATTGAGAAGCACTGCATTAGATAAACATTTAGTGCTGATTTGTCTCAGTTTTATACAAGAAATGACCCAGGTGTCTCTATTTTGAACCAATCTGATCCCTGCCAACAGTAAAGAGACACACAAACTGTCATTTGTTGAAGTAAAATACAGAAAAAGATGCTTAAAAACGACGAAGAAGAAAATGTGACTATACTGACACATGTTGGTCATGAATGGGACAAGTGCACAACAGTTTTCCTTAATTACTCACTTGTTTCACTATTTTTTTTATTACCAATCGCCAAAAACTGAGTGTGTCCCAGTTTTTGATTCTTTTTTGTTCTTTGATTCCTCTGAAAATAACTAAATAAGACCAGAATTTGTGCATAGTGTGACAAGATTTTCTAAAACAAAAACTAGGACACCATTGATTTGTTGGTGGTTTGTAATAATAAAATTGTGAATTAAGTTCATAATTAAGGAAAATTGTTCTGCACTTGTCTCATTCATGACCAACATGTGTCAGTATAGTTACATTTTCTTTGTGTTTTGGTCGTTTTTAACCATCTTTTTCTGTATTTTACTTAAACAAATGACAGTTTGTCTCTCTTTACTGTTGGCAGGGATCAGATTAGTCAAAAATGGAGACACCTGGGACATTTCTTGTATAAAACTGGGACAAATCAGCACTAAATGTTTATCTAATGTTGGCATGTCCAAACTATGGCCCGGGGGCCAAATGTGGCCCTCAGACAAATTTTTCTTGGCCCTCAGACTTCCAGGTGAATTGGCCCAAATTACCTTGCATCAATAAAAAAAAAATTTAACTGCAAGTTTTTTGAAAATCTACTTTGATAAAGCTAAATTTAATACTTAGTGTTTGGTTTTAAAGATCTTAGCATGAATAAGACTGATGGCTCATTCTAACGTGTTAAACATGCACATATTTCAATTATTCACTGTGTAGGCGAGTTTCAGCTGACGTCATTGTTATTAAATTGTTATTGCATGCTGGGAAATATTTTGGTGCGTAACCTCGCGTATTTATCCCTGATAATGGTAAATTCCTGCTGCATTATCGGACGCACAAATAGAAGCACGGAAGAAGGAAAATGTCTTTTTCGTATTCAGAGTGAAAAGAACCGCTAACGGCGAATTAAACGACTTTCAAACATCCGCAGAGCAAACGTAGAAGATCCTAACAAACCGTGGACTCCAACAAGTTCAACAACACATCGAGACTCTTGGAGGTTTTCATCTTTTCTGCTGTGAATGGCCCAGGAGTTTCCACCAAGTCATTGTGGATGTCGCCCAAGTGAATATTTGTCCAGGTAGTTGGAGATTCCGACCAGAAATTTGGTTTGGTCCAGACTCTGTCGAGGTTGAAAAGGGTGATTTGTCGTCCGTCGATGTTTATGACCAATTTCTGGTCAAATGTTCTTGGGTCCTCTGCCGTTAGAGTGGATAAATAACCGGGATCAATACCCTTTACGTGCTTTCTCGCTCCGTCCGTCATGTTGAATTAGTGTTTCTTGCCGCCGACCAAAATAATTTCCCAGCATGCAACGCGCGCTTTTGTCAACAATGAAACTCGCCTGTTGAGCTCCAGTCTACGGCCCTCGATCAGTCCTCTGCTTCCTCTGTATTTAGAGAAGTGGCCCTTGATGAAAAAAGGTTTGGACACCCCTGATCTAATCTGACCAAATTTGTTGATTAGTGCGTCCAGACGTCCCCATTTACCCGGGACAGTACCAGTTTTGAGTCCTGTCTCCCCTGTCCCTGCAGATTTATTAAAAAAACACTGATTTGTCCCAGTTTTATACAAGAAATGTTACAATTTTCTCTATTTTTTGGATCATTTGCAGCAAAACAAAAACAAAACATAAACCATGACAGGAAGAGTCCGAGCTGAAACAAAGACACAACAACTCCACTCACTGGACATATAGGACAACAAAATGTAAATTAAAACAAACAAAAACTCAATTCATCAACTCCAGAGCTCCGTATTTTCCAAAACACAACACCTTTATACTCTTTTTAAAAGGTTTCTGCAGTGTTGGACTGTTTAAAATCATCACTCCGATTGTGCCACAAACCAAAACACAATCACTTTCTTCCTAGTTCTTATCTTTTTTTTTTCCGTTTATGGTCGTACAGACTAATAATGACATTAACGGAGGCACAAGGGTCTAGATTTTTGCCCAGATTGATCCCAGCCAGCAGTAAAAAGTGATACAAAATGACGAGACATAATTGAAAACATGTTGGCTTTGTCCATGTAAATAACTAACTTTATAACTAGATTTTTTCCTCGTGCGATTTTTACATCTTTGGAGTGTCTGGATTCAGTTGTGTTTTAAATAAACTGACATTTGTTGAGGTAAAATACAGAAAAGCTGCTTAAAAACGACCGAAACACAAAGAGAATGTGACTTGACTGACACATGTTGGTCATGAATGGGCCGAGTGCAAAACAGTTTTCCTTAATTACGAACTCGATTCACAATTTTATTATCACAAACCACCACAAATCAACGGTGTCCTAGTTTTTGATTTTGAAAAGTTTGGCACTCTATGCACAAATTCTGGTGTTTTTTAGTTCTTTTCAGAGGAATCAAAGAACAAAAAAGAATTAAAAAAAACTGGGACACGTTCGGTTTGTGGTGTTTGGTAATAGTAAAATGATGATACAAGTGAGTAATTAAGGAAAACTGTTGTGCACTTGTCCCATTCATGACAAACACGTGAGTCACTATAGTCACATTTTCTTTGTGCTTTGGTTGTTTTTAAGCGCATTTTTTGTATTTTACCAAAACAAATGACAGTTTATGTCTCTCTTTAGTGTTGGCAGGGATCAAATTGGTCAAAAATAGGCTACGTTCAGACTGCACCTGAAGTGACCCAAATCCGATTTTTTTTTTTTTTTTTTTGGCCTCTATGTTCCTGTATCTGATCTTTTAATGACAGTCTGAACCACACAGATCCGATTTTTTTCAAATGTGACGCAGGACACTTGGATATGTGCTCCTGAAACTGATACATATCTGATCTTTAACATGTGACTTCAGTGTGAACGGCCAAAGTGCATTCATCCACCTACACGTTATCAACAAGACACAAACGTCACTATTCTGCGCTGAAGTAGGCGAAAATTGTTAATGAACTCTGTGTCACTGAAGTGAAGCACATCACCACTCACCACTCTTGGCTCCGTCTCCACATCCACACGTTCCTTTCAACGGACTGAACCACAAAACACCACGACCAAAAACCTCGTCCTTCTCCTTCTCAATCTCCTCCTTAAAACAAGTAAGTTGTTCATGTTCTGGCTCCGGTACGAGAGGAACTTTAAAATCTCCAGGTGCTCGATGCTGCGTCCATGTTTGGACAACTTCTGTAAACACAGAGACGCTCGCTGCGGTTGACGTCGTCGTGTCTCCAGTGTCACATGCGGGACACTTTCGGGCCGTTTAATGTTCACACTGGAGTCACATACAAGTCACATTTAACTGGAAATATGAACGACCTCGAAAAAACATCGGATTTCACAAAAAAATCGGAATTGAGCGTTAAGCCCTGCAGTCTGAACGTAGACTTAGAGACACCTGGGACATTTCTTGTATAAAACTGGGACATATTAATGGTTTTGTATAAATCTGGTCAAAAATCTAGACACTTTTGCCTCCGTTAACATTATTATTAGTTTGTACAACCATAAACGGAAAAAAAAAGATAAGAACTAGAAAGAAAGTGATTGTGTTTTGGTTTGTGGCACAATCGGAGTGATGATTTTAAACAGTCCAACACTGTAAAAACCTTTTAAAAAGAGTATAAAGGTGTTGTGTTTTGGAAAATACAGAGCTCTGGAGTTGATGAATCGTTTTTTTTTTTTTTTGTATTAATTTGCATTCACAACTCCACTCACTGGACATATAAGAGACAAAATGTAAACTTGTTCATGCGTTTGGTGTCTTTGTTTCAGCTCGGACTCTTCCTGTCATGGTTTATGTTTTGTTTTTGTTTTGTAATGCTGCAAATGATCCAAAAATAGACACTTGTAGCAGTTCTTGTATAAAACTGGGATAAAAAAAATGGTTTTGTATAAATCTGCAGGGACAGGGGACTCGAGGCTCAAAACTGGGACTGTCCCGGGTCGACAGGATCGTCTGGTCACACTAGAGTTTAGTCCGTTTTAGATCAGAGATTGTTCTTGCTTTGTGCGGTTTGGTCTAATCCAGACATGTCAAACAAATTTGGCCTGCGATTTAATTATATTTGGCCCGTGAGATCATATCAAACATGTATTAGAGCAGCCGCCGCACACAGATCGACTATAGAAACATTATTTATTTAAAACTGTTATTATTTTATATTGTGCTTGTTCTGGATTCAATGTTTAAGCGAAACTATTATTAAACATTTATTTTAATAAGAAAAGGTTTAAAGTTGCAGATCTTGAAAGAAGAGAAACCATGCAGATGATGTTGAAATTTTTCAATAAATATTTAGTTTGGCCCACGACTTAGTCCCAGTTTTTAATTTTGGCCTCTGTGACTTTAGATTAGATCAGGAGAGTCAAACTCAATCTGTTTTATACTTTGTTGAGCCTCATTCTCTACATTTCTGGTTTAGTCCTTTTTTATTCACAGGAGAATATGTGTGTGTTCATATATATATTTTTTTTTGCACAATTGTGAAACTCCGTTAAACTTTAGTGTGATGTTTCATGGGGATGGGGTAATATTTTAACTGCAAAGTAACATTCAGAAGTTCAGAGTATTTTACTGCAAAGAGTAAACTGCAGGTCTGTTTTTGCAAATGAACTCTTCCTGGTTGGTCTTGGTGTTAAGTTGTTGATTTGTTTTTATTTTGAGTTTGTGCCAAGAGAGAAACAATAATCATACATAAACACTGTAAACAACAAAGAAGCACATTTATCGAAAAAAAGGAGTGGGGAAGAAGAAAAAACTTAGATTAGATTTACAGGTGGGTTAATACAAGTTTAGTCCTGATGTAGGCAGGGATTTGGTTTTCGTCCTGGCACTGAGATTTTGAAGTGTCTTGCCCCGTGGCACAAGAGCAGGACCCTAACCCGTGTGACCCGTTGTGTTTCCGCAGCTCGTCTCGCAGTCCCAGACACCGGCGCCGCAGCAGGTCCAGATCCCGCTCTAGATCCCGCTCCAGATCCCGCTCCAGGTCTTACTCTCGCTCGCGCTCCCGGTCGCCCCGGAACAAGACCAAGTCCAAGGCCTCGTCTCGCTCCAGGAGCCGCTCCAGATCCAGGTACCCAGTCCAGACCCAGTCCTAGACCAGACTCTTCTGATAACGAGAAAACACAAACAAAAGGACAGTTATGGATGTAACTGCAGTTCTATGAATCCCTGATCTCGGGCTCGTGGAGAGTCCGACTTTATTCCTTCTCTGATTTGGTTGATTTATGATTTCTGCGGCTTAAACGCACAATAACAAATAGAGGTGTGCAAAAATATTGAAATATCGATGTATCGTTTAATGTGCAGATACAGTATCGATATTGTGGGTTGTTGTATCAGTATATCGCTAAGAGTATTTTTAGTAGGGCTGGGTATCATTAAAAAGTTGTCGATACATAGGCCATGATACGATACATATCTCGATTACAGTAAGATTTCGAATCGATACTATGTATTTCAAACCGATTCGATATAGTTCAATAAAAAATAATGGCTAATTCATGGCTGTGATACTAAGTCTTTGTTAAACCACTTTTTGTGCAAAGTCCGTATGAAACACAAACATTTTAATCCTCATAACAGTGAAAATGTCAAATGTGTCGCTTAAACAAGCAACAAAACTAGCTCTGCAACAAAATAATTTAATAAAACAGACCAAAAAAATATCCTTGGCGATATATCGATACAGCAGCCCATGATATCGATTCTGTATCATCACATTAAACGATACGATGCATCGATATTTAGCTATTTTTGCACACCCCTAATTTTTAGTATGTTTTACTAAATTATTTTGTTACAGCTGTAGTTTTGTTGTTTAGAGGAAGCATGTCCAAACTACGGCCCGTGGGCCTAATGCGGCCCTCAGACTCAGGCTTCCAGTTGAATTGGCACAAATGACCTTGCATCAATTAAAAATAAACTTAAAACTGAAGTTTTTTGAAAATCTACCTGGATAAAGCTAATATTGAATATTTCGTGTGTGGTTTTAAAGATCTTGGCGTGAATAAAGTCTGATGGATCATTCTAACGTGTTAAACATGAACATATTTCAATTATTCACTGTATTCTGCACCAGTCTACGGCCCTCGATCGACCCTCTGCTTTATCTGTGTTTTAAATATGTGGCCCTTGATGAAAAAATGTTTGGACATCTCGTTTACGTGACACATTTGACATTTTGACAGTTTTGAGGATTAAAGTTGATGTTTTTCATATGAACTTGGCACAATAGAAGGTTTAAGAAAGACTTTTAGCATCACAGCCATGATTTAGTCTTTTTTATTAAACCGTATCGATTCGTTTTTAAATATATCGTACTGAATCGAAAGCTCACTGTATTGAGGTATGTATCGTATCGGCAACTGCTTAATGATGATGCCCAGTCCTAATAACAAAGCGTATTACTCAGAAGTACAAGTAGACACCATCGTATTTTCCACACTATAGGACGCGCTCATAAGCCTCCAGCTCCATCAAAAAAACGACACAATCCAGAGAGCCCCATACATGAATCCACTCGGGAGTCCCAGCACAAAGTCGCACGCAAACACGCACGGAGCAGACGGCGACCGCACAGCGAAACACACCCACAGACACACTCATCACTCCACGCCGACGAGGAACGGAACGGAGGAACGAACCGAAAAAGAGAGCGCAATGTGCCGCTTCTAGACACGACGGAACAACCGAGTCACTGCGAACACGCGGACAATCTGTTGGTCCCAGACACACCCTCCCTACACGCCACAACTGAACAAAGCCCAGAGTCACCGTGAACGAACAAACAAACAAAACCACTCACCCATCACACTGTTGTTTCCTTTAAAGCCCCACGCGGTTTATTTGTGAAAAAAAGTTTAAAAGTAGACCATTTTTATAATCCAGAGTGTCCTACAGTGCGGAAAATACGGTACAGTTTTAAAAATTTCCTTTTCCGTTTGACTTTTAATTTCACAGTGAGCACAGTTTTAGAAGTGTTGCCCTCTACTCTTTAGTAAGACGGTATCATTCGGAAGTTGCCGATACGATACACACCTCGAAACGGTGAGCTTTCGATACGATTCAATAAGAAAATGTTGGCCGTGATACTGAAAGTCTTTGTTAAACCACCACTTGTGCAAAGTTGAAGTGAAACACAAACATCCTCAAAAACTGTGAAAATGTCAAATGTGTCGCATAAACGAGTTTCCTTCCCCTGAACAAACGACAAAACTGTAGCTGGAACTAAATAATGGAGTAAAATAAACCAAAAAATACTCGTTATCGATACTGTATCATCACATTAAACTCTATGTATGACTATATTTGTATTTCAGTATTTTTGGACACACTCCTACTCCTTAGTGTTGTGCAGAAAGATTCCCAATAAAATAATTTGTTGACTTATACCAATTTGACTTTTAGTTTGTAGAATACGTTTGATCGATTCGTTCACTTAACGACAAGCGTCATACAGCCTGAAGATCATTAACAGTTTAACATTTGTATTTGTTTATTGATTTTCTTAGATCCAGATCGAAGTCCCGGTCTAAATCCCGGTCTAAATCCCGGTCCAGGAGCCGCACGCCCTCCTCCAAACGCGGGTCCCGATCCAAGTCCAAGAGTCCGGAGAAAACCACGGCCGAGAACGGATCTGCAGAGTCTCCTTAGTCTCCAGACGGGTGAGTGGGACGGCAGCCGGGAAACAACGCAAATACTCAACCCGATCATTTCTGTTTTATTTATACATGTACCGTATTTTTTGGACTATAACTCGCACTTTTTTTATGGTTTGGGTGTTTCCTGCGACTTAAATATTAAAATTTTCAGACTGACAGCGGTGAGAAGCTCTAGTCTTGTGTGTGAGTATCTGCTGCTCCTGTTCCTCCTGTACCACTGTCACTTCGCTCCCTACTGCGCAAGTCTCCTGTAGAAAAAGCCGCTGTCTCGCTGCAAATTGTGAAATCTGCAGCAGAAAACGGTAATCGAGCAGCAGAAAGAAAGTTTGGAGTGAGAGAGAAACTTGTGAGGGACTTGTGGAAGGCGAGGATGGAGAACACAGCTTCACGGGAACCAGGAGGATGCACCAGGAAACTTTCCTGAAGTCACTGGATGGATGGATGGACAAAGCCTGGAGTTCAGTGACACTGAAACCATCCTGTCGGGATTAGGGATTGGCATTCGATGAAATTTTCTTAATCGATCGTCAGAAGAATTAACGATCGATTATCGAGTAATCATTAACTTTTTTATATTAAAATGATCATCATTATTATTACTATCTGCACTAATCTGCATAAATAAATTCAACTTTACGACATATAAACATAACGACTCTAGAGCCACATCAGCTGTTTGACATTATAATGTGTTTAATTCAGTTTTGTTCAAATCTCACAGAAACAAAACTTAAAACCACATCACTAATTTACATAAACTAAGTGAAGATAAAACTCCAGCTCTTGTGTCGCTGATGTGGTTCAACTTGTGTCAGATTAAAAGACATGACTCAGGTGAATACAGGTCAGTGTGACCAGATTTGTGTTTGTCAAAACCAGGACAGCGTACGGGGGGAGGGGGCGGGGACTCGTCATCCACATTGAGCGACTCTCACCTGGAAAAACTTTTTCCCACTGGACACAGAAACATATGTGCTGCTTTATCCACTGTGCACATGGACTCACACTTGTCCCAACGCAACGGAAAGTGTGGAATTTCTTCTACAAATCCTGGTTAAATCCACATTTGTGCTTCGGTTCGTTACAGACTGACCCACTGTTTGTGTCTCGCTCCTTCTGATGCAGAGACACATGTACACACCTGTTTGGTCACGACACACACAACAACCTACATTCGGTTTGTCGATTAAAATGAACGTAATCAATGAAATTCTTAATGATCAATTATCGATTAATCGACTAATCATGCCCATCCCTAGTCGGGATTCAGAAAGTCCTGAATAATTCTAACTGGAACTGATGACGACAGCGACACAGAAGAGGAAGCGGCGCTTTGTTTACCTCCGGATTTCCTGCAGAAGTGACACCGAGGATGAAGAATTGAATGGATTTAGTGATTTGGAGTGAGATGGGAGAGTTTGTTTAACTTGTTCTGTTTCATTGTTTATGCTATAGTTTATCTGAAGAACTGTTCATATGTGACGTTAACAGTCTGTTGTTCTCTCTTCTATTGTTTTTACTAGAACTTGATTTTAAGATGAAATGTCGGTTCCTGGTGTCTGATTTTACAAAATACATTTCCCTAAAAAGTGTCACTTATAGCTCGGTGCGACTTATAGTCTGAAAAACACGGTATGAGAAGTTAAGCCGTGCTATTTTAGAAAAAGATTTAATTAAATGTTTTCCTTACTAGTGTTGATCACATTGTAAACAGCTCCAGGAACATTCACATTTGAAACTGAAACCTAAACTGTTGATACAAGAAGCTCCTACATTTCTGAGAATTTTGTTTGTTGTAAGGTCCAAACTTTTGTGAAGCCAGAGTTGACCCTTTGTGCACCTTGTTCCACCTTTAAAATGCCTCAAAAATAAAAGAATCCACAGAGAACGATCCAAGTGCAGTTAAAAAACTCTTTACTGAGGATTCACATGATTGAGACGTATAAATACAAACAAAAAAGGGGAACTTTTAAAGCACAGGTGACAGGAGCTCAAAAAACTGTTTGGCTCCACTCCACCTTCCCATGATGCACCTGCTCACGTCTTAAATAAGGAACCATAGACACAAAATAATACAAACATTACTTAAGTAAACTTATGATTAACATTAGCAATAATTAATTGAAAGAAAAATTTAAATAGATCAAATAATTTTGGTTACAAATCAACAAATGATCATGTTAATCATAAAGAATTACCAAAATACCCCAAATTATGCATTTTAAGTAAATATTAAATCAAACAAAATAAGAATAATAATCTCAGTAATGAAACAACTACAAAAGTGAGTTTAGGCTCCCACATTTGTAGACGTCTAAACTACAGGTACAACAAGGAGTTTTATCAAAGGCAGAGGAAACAATCGGTCTAAATATCTGCAGCCTTTGTGATCTGATAATTTCGCTAACTTAATTTTTTGCTGTGTAACAAGTCGAGCCAACTCCCGACGAGTCACTGAAAAACAACCGGACAGACCCGTTCTGTCTGTGAAAGTGAATGTATTAAAACACGGCTGCTGTAGTGACTCAGACCTTTGACATGATTATCAGAACTCTACAGCTGCTGTGCCGGAACGCGGCTGCTCAAGTCCTGACTAGAACCGGGAAATACACGCGTCCTGGGCCCAGGTCTCTGGCTCCTGTGGCTCAGAGGAAAAACTTTAAAGCAGCTCTGTTGTGTACAAGTCTCTCCACGTCCTAGCACCAAAGTACATCTCTGACGTGTTAGTGAAGCGTATGCGTAATGTCTGAAAGGTTTTTATTCTGTGCTCTGATTTGACAATGCTTATTTTGGGTGTTTCCTGTGACTTGTATATTAAAATAGTCGCACTGACAGCCTCCAGAGGGCGCTCTAGACTCTTGTTCCTCCTGTACCACTGTCACTTCGCCCTCTAAGCGCATGTCTCCAGCAGAAAGAGCCGCTGTCCTGCTGCAAGTTGTGAAGTAGGCACGCTCTTAAGCCTCCAAGCCGGATCAAAAAACGACTGCATGCTTCACAATCCAGAGCGCCCCATACGTGAATCCACTCGGGCGTCCCAGTACAACTTCAGTAAACTACAAAGTTACACACACCGAGCAGACAGCGACCGCACAGCGAAACACACCCACAGACACACTCATCACTCCACGCCGACCAGGAACGGAACGGAGGAACGAACCGAAAAAGCCACGAGCGCAGTGTGCCGCTTCTAGACACGACTGAACAACTGAGTCACTGCGAACACGCCGACAATCCGTTGGTCCCAGACACACCCTCCCTACACGCCACAACTGAACAAAGCCCAGAGTCACCGTGAACGAACAAACAAACAAAACCACTCACCCATCACACTGTTGTGTTTCCTTTAAAGTCCCACGCGGTTTATTTGTGAAAAAAGTTCAAAAATAGACCATTTAATGACAGTGCGTCTTATAATCCAGAGTGAACTACAGTGCGAAAAATACGGTATTCAGTCGAAAACAGTGATCGAGCAGCAGAAAGAAAGTTTGGAGTGAGAACACAGCTTCACGGTATCCGGGAGGACGCGCCATGAAACTCTCCTGAAGTCACTGGACGGATGGACAAAGCCTGGACTTCAGTGACACCGAAACCATCCTGTCGGGATTCAGAAAGACCCGAATAATTCTAACTGGAACTGATGCTGAGCAGAGTTGTTCAGAAGTGACACCGAGGATGAAGAATTGAATGGATTTAGTGATTTTGGAGTGAGATCGTGAGTTTGTTAAACTTGTTCTGTTCTGTTGTTTATAGTTTATCTGAAGAACTGTTCATATGTGACGTTAACAGTCTGTTGTTCTCCTATTGTTTTTGCTACAACTTGACTTTACACAGGAAATTTCTCTCCCTGGTCTCTGATTTTATAAAATATATTTCCCCCAAAAAGTGCAACTTATACTCCAGACTTATGTTTTTTTTTCTTTTTTTCTTACTAATTTTTTGGGTGTGTGACTTATACTTTGGTGCGACTTATAGTCCAAAAAAACACAGTATTTGTTTTTATTTGTGTGTGTTGTGATTTTAAAGCATCCTCCTCGTTCTGTAAAGCATTTTGAATTATTTACAGATTGTGCTGTACAATTAAACTTGCCCTGGCTACCACAGGACCAGAGCTACGACTCCATATTGACTCCGGTTCTCTCGTTTCAGATGCAGAGACGGACGTCCAGGCTGAAGCCGCTCGAGCCACAGAGCCACAGAGCCCCCCATGTGTCTAAGGTTATTATGGTCTTCCACCTTCAGTTTGCTCCATTAGTCTGTCAAAGGCATGTCTCCCGCTTTGGCTTTTATTTTTGAAAACGCCCCATACTCCACAGTTCTACCGCCCAGTGCAACTTTACCCATTGGACTAATACGGTTTAGGTTCAGAGTGTGTGCAGAAGATCACCTTTTACCTTTTTTAAACTGTCACACATTGTAGATCTGAATGTAGAGAACATGAAGATCAAATCAGAACGTTGGGGCCAGTGTTTTTCCTTCTAAATGCAGATGTTTGTTGATGTTGCCTTTAGTCATTTCATTTGATTAAGTCTTTCTTTTTTTAATGGTTGGGAGCGGGATTATAATAAAGTTATAAACAAAAGAGAAATAAACTGTTTCAGCAAAAGCCCGTGTGAACAATACTTTCCAAAAACGTATGTATTTACGAATGAGAACATTGTCATAATAAAGGCCCGAAATATAAAATTGAAGAACTGTTTTCCGTTTTAAGTCATGTTTTTTTTTTTTTTTTTACATATTTTGGTTTATTATACCTTTTAAAACATGTAATTCTGTGAACACAATGTAAATAGGGCTTTTCTTTAGTTTCTTCTGACTTTGTACGTTTGTTTTTAACGGGTTCTAATCCTGCTTGTGTTTGTTTGTGCACTAGGCGCAGTTTGTAGCAGTTTGTTGCTGGTTAGCTGTGTGCCATTTGCTGCTGTGACTGCCTCCGGCTCGGGCCTAAACTTTCACTTTTGTACAATAAAAAAAACAAAAAAAAACAACTCCAAATCTGGTGTCGTAGGTAGACGAGGAACTCTCTTGAATAAACTTGCCGTTTTGTCTAACAATCTCACTGTTTTGATTTTGCTTTGCTCATTTATGTCAAGGTAAAGGTAAGGTAAAATCTGCCCGGCATCAAATAAATATAAGAAAGTCCTTTGAGAGAAATAAAGCATGTCTAAGATTATTTTTAAATAAAGAGGCTGCGATTGGGTAGATAAACGAGGCAAATGCCCAGAGCCCCAAAGGACATGGCCTCAACGAAAAGAACAACACAAGTCACATTTGCTATTAAAAGCAATATTTCCTCTTGACCCTTGTGCGCCCATTTAGAAAAATCACACCTGTACACCGGAAAAGAATACCACAATATACCACAATGTTGTTTTTTTATATCATTGTCATAATTTACTTCTGTCCTAATCATACATACCAAATTTTATATCACATTTTGAAATTTTAACCCCTTAAAATGCCATTTTTTACAGCAAAAGTATTAAATTATGTGTATGAAATTTATTATTTTTTTTATATCTTTCATTAAATAATTTTAGTTTGTGTTGGGATTATCAGAAGCTGGGGGCTCCTCGAGAACACACCCAGATCATTTTAACCTAAAATATCTATGTCTCTGTCCTTCAGTCTGGACTCATATTTACAAATGTCTTTATATTGATATAACCTTGTAATGGAAGATACACAGTAAAAAAAAAAAATCAAAACATTCAAAAAGACACTAAAACGAGGAAATTAAAGGGTTTTCAACACCAAAAAAAGAAAAAATCAGACAATAGGTCAGTCAATAAGTCAATGGGACAAAAATGTACCTAAGGACCACGGGTGTGAATATTTTCATTATAGACCGTTCAATTAATGTGATCTTGGAAAAAAAACAAAACAAAGAAATTATGAATATGTCACAAAAATACACAAACTGGACAATTTTGGTGCTATTTTGTGCAATATAGCAAAAGTTATGGAAAAAAAGAAAAGTTGAGATGTTCAAAAATGTACTTCGGGGTGCAGGAGGGTTAAATATGAATAATCAAAGTACAAAATAAGCTTTTTTAAAACTATCAAAAATGAAAAATGTCCTTCCCTGATAGTGTCAAGAGATGTGTACGATTTTGTTCAAGGATACGAACACAAACACTCTACAGGATTCAAAACTATGGCCATTGCGTTTGTTTACCATACAATAGGTCACAATTCCACCTTTGACTGACAAATTGGCCTAAAATAAACCTGTTTAATTTGTGATTTTAGTGAGGCTTTCATTAAGGATCATAAATTAATCCTGTTATTTGCCGATGTGATTGAATATTAGTCATATTACAGATCTTATGTCACTCTATGGCGCATGGGGATCCCGGTTCTTTCTTTAAATTACGGGATAATAAGCAGTGTTGGGGAGTAACAGATTAAATGTACCGGAGTTACGTAATCAGAGTACAAATTATGAGTAACTGTATTCAGTTACAGTTACTGTTTCAGTGAGTGGTAATTGGATTACAGTTACTTTGTTAAAATAAATGGATTACACAGAGGGATTTTCCTGTTTGCACATTTTGGGCTATATCCCTTTTTTTTTTTTCTTCTTTTTTTTTTTTTGGTAACCCACTCATTGCCGGACACTAAATCAGGTCTAAAATCAGGTCTAAAACAAGGTCTAAAACCAGGTCTAAACCAGGACTAAAACCACGTCTAAACCAGAACTAAACCAGGTCCAAACCGGGTCCAAACCAGGTCTAAAACCAGGTCTAAGACAGATCTAAACCATGACTAACCAAGACTAAACCACATCTAAACCAAGACTAAACCAGGACTAAACCAGGTCTAAACCAGGACTAAACCAGGATTTAACAGGACTAAATCCTGCTGTGTGGACGTGTTTCTTCTTCTTCTATCAATACTATTTTTAATTTATTTCAGTAAAGTCTGGGCTTTTTATTTTCTTTTATCAGACAAAACTTCTTATGTGAAGATTTCCTCGTCTTTGTTTCTTTACAGCAAATCAAGTAATCCAAAGTATTCAGATTACATTACTCACTTTAAGTAACTTAATGGATTCCGTTACAAACTATATTTTGGGGTATGTAATCTGTAATCTGTAGGGGATTACATTTTAAAAGTCACCTTCCCAACACTGATAATAAGGTTAAATTTATTGATTATGTAGATTATTTTTCAATGTTTACATTTTTCACTCCCGGTAATTTTCCGGTTTCGACAATGACGTCAGCTTTCCGGAAAACGGGCGTGGTCTCCGGCGGCGTCCCCCTCCCCTCCCTTGCGTGCGTCAGGGCGTGATGGCGTCACGGTGGGCGGGGTATAAAAAGTTGTTTTCGCCGCTTACGGAGGATCTGTTTGAACGTGAAGAGCAAAAGAGGAGGCCATTTTGAGAGCGCCCTGAACCCGAGCAGTCCCCCGCAACAGCCCCGAGCCGCCGAGCCACTACACGAGCAGCCACTGTCGCCAAGAACCGACGGAAACCAGGACAACCAAGTTATTATCCGGGAGGAAATCGACTCTTATCGTATGTCCGCTATCCAGAACCTCAAAACTTTTGGTGAGTGTCCGCCGATCACACGGAACATCCGCGGCGGTGGGGGGAGGGTGAGCGGGGAGGACTAGCCGTTTAGCTTTAGCGTTTTGTTGGAGTTTCTTCTCGTTTAACCTCGTTTACGTTCAGATTTTATTACCTGTATCTTCATCACGTACGATTAACCGTGTTTATTTCCTCGCGTTGCGGTCGGGGATTAGTTTTCTGGCCTGTTGCCGCCGTCTTTGCCGAGCGGTTGGCCTGTGTGCGGCCTCCGCGCCTGAGGCCTGCTCGGGCGGCTGTTTTTCACATCCTGACAAACTCCAAAAACCCTCCACATCACGAACAAAGCCGGAGTATAACAAAAGACAGCTGTGTTTAGGTTTATATTTCGCTGTAAACCGGTCGTTACTGGTGTCGGGTGTTTGGTCAGAGCGGAGTTGGTTTGGGAAAGTGCGCTGTTTTGGGCCGCCGTGAGCCGCCGCTAAGCGCTTTAGCCCCGGTCTGACTCTGCGCAGCGGCTGAAATATGAGCCTCCGGAGACCTGCCAGCCCCGGCCACGGAGCCAGCGCACACACACACACACACTCTTATTTATTCCGTTTGGTTTATATTTGTCACGGCTCCACGTTCCCTGTGTTCCAGATGGACAATACTGGCAGCCCCGTCTCCAGAGTTTGTCCTTTGTCACTCCGTGTCTAAATACTCTCGGATCTTGTTGGGTCTATAAACGATGATATGTCGTAACAATCCCGCTATTCCTCTCCACAGACCCCTTTGATGATGCAACTAAGGGTGATGACAGCCTCCCGGCCGGCACTGAAGACTGCATCCACATAAGAATCCAACAACGAAACGGCAGAAAGACCCTGACCACAGTGCAGGGCATCTCCGAGCACTATGACAAGAAGAGGATAATGAAGCATTTCAAAAAGGTGAGCGACGGGCTGGTCCACGGTCTTGTTTTTGTTTCGTTTTGTTTGTGATCTTTTGTTGCGCTGACTCCGCTGCTTGACGTCACCGCTCTAACCTTTTTCTTACAGCTCTTTGCTTGCAACGGGACTGTGATTGAGCACCCAGAGTATGGTGAGGTGATTCAGCTACAGGGTGACCAGCGCAGGCATATTTCCCAATTCCTTTTAGATGTAAGTAACGCAAACACGTACCGAACTGTGGGTGTCGTGTATGGATTGCTTGTTTACCCGTTTGTTTTGTTTTGCAGACTGGCCTGGCCAAGAAGGAGCAGGTCAAAATCCACGGCTTTTAAGAGCTGCCCCCCCTCCCCAATATTTCTGTCCTGAAGGCCATTTGCAGCCCCTCCCCCCCCCACCTCCTCGTCATCTTATGTGTTCTTCTTCTGCCCATCCCCCGTTTCCTAACCTTCCTTTGCCCCTTTTTACCATCAGCTCCCACTCCCAGCACGGAAATTACCTCCTACAAACATGAGACTCTGTAACACCTCAACCCCCCTCTGCCACCGGGGGGCGCACTCACAAGAAGAAATCAGGGACGACCGATGATGCCCCTTCTTGCACGCTTCCTTTTTAACTCTTGTTCCCTGAGTTCATTTTCCTTTTATTTCTTTTAAGGTCCCGTGCCATGAAACGGCGCAATTTCGTGTAACTTTTGTTTTGTATTTGAAGGTGGTTCAATAAAAGCGATGAGTCTCCACGTGTCTGTGTCGGTGTCTGAAGTTGGTTCCAGTTCAGTTTTAAATGTTGTAAACCCCCTCTAAAAAAAAAAAAAAAAAAAAGTAATTACACCTGTTTACACGCTAGAGTGGCATGTTTGGCACGTGAACTTGGCACGTGATTCAGAATTATTTGACCTTTGTTTCCGCTTGTTTTGCAGTGCAGACAGACAATCTTGGTATGGAACGCGTCCAGATTACCTCATCTATCCAAGTGTTTTGAGAGTGACGTAAGATTTGAGACGACGGGGCGTACAGATTTGCAATTTAAAATGGAATACGATCTTTTCAACGTCGTTAAGTCCTCAAAATGGTGCTTGTAGCAGATACTGAAACCCATTATGTCTAAAGATTTGTTGCTGATGATTGTGCCAGCCAGGTGTACTATAAAGTTTATGACTGTAGATTTAAGATTATTTTTGTTTATTTGAAAACTACACTTTTTATGATTTCAGACTTGAGCCTAGAGAGGATATTCAACTTTAATATTTGAGGGCTACATACAAGAGTGGTGTGTATGGGTGTATTATAATAAATTAAATAATAAATAAATTCAAATTACTTACCCTAGATCCAAAAAAAAAAACATGCACCAGGTGGAAATTAGCTCTGGTGCTACAACCTGGCACAATGCATCTCTCCTGTAAAGTTTAATGTAAATAGTGCACCGTGCCTGTCTCATAAATAAACTAAATAAAATAAATGTTACTGCAGTTTGATTGCACTTTTTTGAGTTAACAAAAGCGGATTCTGGTTAAAATTGATTACATTTAGCGTTAAACTTTAATTTATACAGAATATTGTTCAAAAATGGTGCTAAAAATACGTATTTATTATTTAATTTATTATAATACACCCATACACACCACTAAAAAACATGCACCAGGTGGAAATTAGCTCTGGTGCTACAACCTGGCACAATGCACCATCCCTGTCTCATAAATAAACAAAAAATAAATAAAATTAAATGTTACTGTAGTTTGTTTAATTGCACTTTTTTGAGTAAACAAAAGCAGATTCTGGTTTAAATTGATCACATTTAGCTTTAAACTTTAATTTATACAGAATATTGTTCAAAAATGGTGCTAAAAATACGTATTTATTATTTAATTTATTATAATACACCCATACACACCACTAAAAAACATGCACCAGGTGGAAATTAGCTCTGGTGCTACAACCTGGCACAATGCACCATCCCTGTCTCATGAATAAACAAAAAATAAATAAAATTAAATGTTACTGTAGTTTGTTTAATTGCACTTTTTTGAGTAAACAAAAGCAGATTCTGGTTTAAATTGATCACATTTAGCTTTAAACTTTAATTTATACAGAATATTGTTCAAAAATTACGCTAAAAATACATGTACTTTTAATTTAATACGTTTTTTATCCATGTTATTGCACTTTTACTTGAGTACAAATTTGCAGTACTACGTCACGGCTTTTCCAATTGTAAATTTTGGGGGAATTTTGCTGTTTTAAGTAGATTTTTAAATGTATGTACATTAACGGTACCTTTAATGGATTTAAAATATTCAAAACAAAAACATAATTAAAATCCACGGTGAGCGTTTTTCAACCTCCTTGCGGGCTTCCGTCCACAGGCTCCATGGCAACGCACGCAGCGCCGAGGCTAATGCTAAATGCTAACGTTTTGAGCTTCTCCCGACAATAAAAACAGTTTTTACTCATTTTTAACTCAAACAAAGAGGCACGTTAATAATAAATAAAGCCCACATCACGTTTCATATTGTGTTTCTTACCACCGTAAAGCGGAAGGGTAAGTTTAATTAATATTCCACTTTTTTTTCTTACGTTATGTTTTCATTTAGAACGATGTGTTTTTGTTTTTTGTTTTTTTTCCCTAAATAAAAAAAAACAAAACTGGGGCATCC